GCATAAATTTCATCGTTATAACTAAATGCTTCTGGTGCTTTACCTGTGTCATACTGTACAGTACAGCTTATGTCATAACCTTTAGCACGAATGTATTTATATCTTCTTTCATTAACATTTTTTGTCTTCGCTTCATCACTTCGTGTTAAATATCCATGGTAGTCCGTTAAATCTGTTCGTCTGAAGTTATATAATGAACGTGGTTTTTATCTGCTTTTTCGGCTAATTTCTCATTAACATCATTCACTTCTAATTCAACTCTTCCGCCAGAACTCTTATTATCATTAATCTTTTTCATTAATTCGGTAATTACGTCATAAAGACTATATTCTGTTTTCGGTTTTGTAAATAATGAGTCAAAATTTCTTTCATCATTACATCGCTGACATTAATGATATCACCAATTCCTTTTTCATTTATTCTCTTCATTAATTCTGCAATAATGACGAATATATAATCTGTTAATTTATTCTCTTCATCGAGGGTTATAGAATGTTTTGAAATTGAATCATTAACTCCTCTAAATAAATCAATAACTTCAGGATACACGTTTTTAATGTCTTGAATAACCCGACCAGTATCCTCGCCACTATGTGGCTCTGAGCCCGTTGGGCTCTGTTGTTCATGTTCTTCGTTCCCGTCGTTACGTGGTTTTATATCTCTAACCATCATCAACGCAGCCATAACCGGAGGGTTTTTGCTACCTGTTCGAAAATCCGTCCGTTATGTATGGTATATCTAAATAATTTCTTTGTGTTTGTTAAAACATTTGAAACAAGTCTTTTAAAAACCATCTACAAAATTTCCTGTTTCACCTAAATGTTCTTGCAGCATTTACAAGCTCACCCATTCCCGCTTTTGACCCCAAAAACGTCCATATTGCATTTATTTCACTCTGTATAGTTGTCCATTCAGCGAAACTAACACCCGCATTCGCTAAGCTGAAAATGAAATTCAGTGGATCGAACTTAATTCCACCTTCTTTTTCAATTTCAACGAACTCACTAACATGAGATTTTAAATATTCTTTCGTTAAAATTGTTTTCCCCGATGTTATGTCATTAACGAAACTATCACCGTCAAAAGTTAACGAATTCAATTTCGTCGTTGATGCTTTTATTTCATACACCGCTTTATCGATAGTTTTTGGCTCACCTTCTTTAGAAGCATATGAAACATTAATGAATGAATTATATGTATTCGTGAATGAATTAAAATCAATGATTTTCATTAATGACGCCTTTAATGATTCATTAACTGTTGAATCCCTTAAAACAATTAATGAACTGTCATGGGCTTCGCCCTGGTCGCTTCGGTCTGAAAGACCTTCAGGACTCAAAGAGTCCGTTTGCGACTTTATGAAAGGTACACTGCAAACCGTCGAGTTTGGATCAAATGCTGTAGTTGGTGCAGGAATATTAATGATATAAGTCATTAAATCATTAAGTGACGTAAATAATGTTGTCGTTTTTGATTTAATTTCTTTAGCATCTGTTATATATGGTAATTTTATTTCTGTAGTTTCTGAATTAAAGATATTCGCTAAAATGTTTTGTAAACTGTTTTGAACAGCTGTGTAAACCGTTGAATTCGGAACTCTTACGATTTCACCATCCTTAATAAAAGGCATTGTACATGACGTAGTGCTTGGGTCAAATCTTTCGGGATTATAATTCAACATATATTCTAACGCTTCATATACAGACCTATAAACAGTTGTGTCGTTCTTCATGACAACTTCACCATTTACAATGAATGGCATAGTGCATGGAGTTAAAATAGGGTCAAACTTTTCATAGTCCTTCCATGTTATGTATTTCTCGGTATTTCCATCAGAAATAACAATATATTTGTCAGTAAGTGTGAGAGAGTATTGACCAAAATATAAACGTTTAGCTCTGTCAGCTTCATACGCATATGCAGCAATACTCATATTTTAATGAGAATAAAATGTTGTTCTATTTGCAAAGTACAGACCCAAACGAATACGGGACAGTAAAGCTACAAACAAACTTAGGTCTTCAGAATGAAGCGCTTGCTTTCAGAGTTGTTGACTTCAATACTATCGCTTCATTCGTTATAACAGATGAAACAGATTTCATGGAGCTTGAAATAGATGGAAAGAAGCACGAAATAAGATTTCACAATAATGTAGAATATAAGATGGAAACATTAGCTGGAGTGTTAAATGCGCTCATAAATACTACAATAAACAAGGAGAACGAAGAAAACTTAATGAATGTTAAACTTATTGCAGGAGTTTTGAAGTTCAGTTATGCGAAGGAGTTTAAGATAACACGAATGAGTCATAGAGTTCAATTGCTTCTGGGAGCATACCATATGACATGTCCTTTGAAAAGTGTTGACAAAACGATTGAGATGAAATCTGTTCCATACGTATGTTATGGTAATTGTTTATACGTTGAGTCAAAAATAGCTAATGTCACAGGTATTTCAGGAGTTAATAGTAAAGGTTCAGTAGAATATAAATCCTTCTGTTATGCAGTCAATTCAATGTTCATTCCAAACGTTCCTGTCATAGTAACTCATTTAGGTAAATGGGTTCGCATTAGTCCTCATAATTTGAAAGACATGCAATTCAGACTTGTTGACTTTCAAGGAGAGCCTGTAGAACTGAAGGCACCAGTGCGAATGACTGTTGAAGTTGACTTTTTAGAAAATATTAAATGCAACAGCTTACAAGAGAACTCAGAGCTAAAAATATAAAGTATGAATGTTATGTATTAGGTCATGAACTTTGGTTATTGCTGTTTGATGAAACAAATGAGTTAGTTATGTCAGTCAAGAGAACAGAAAAAGGCGTCAAAGGCGCCGAGCGCAAAGCGCTATATTGTGTTAGTGAAACTGCACCAAGTCAATAAGATTAGGTTTGCATTATGAAGATGAGTTCGATACTGTTGAAGAAGTTTTGGATAGATATTACAAATTGCTTTAATTTACTAAAAACATATTTCAAGCAAAGTTTATATTCTGTTGAAAGTTTTGTATACTCGTTCGAATATTTATACTTAAACTCAACTCCTGTAGTTCCTGGTATTTCAATGATGCGGATGTTACCTATTTTCATGAATGGTGGCGTTTGACCACAGCATTCGATTTCAGGGTCGAGATAGTCAATGACACATTGTTTCCCTGTTATTCGTGATATAACATTTTCAAGGTCCTCCTTTGTTAGAATTATTTGGTTCTTGCTTATAAGATTTGTCAAAAGCTTCTTATCGTCTTTGAGTAAAATTGTTTGGTATAACTGAAGAAGGTGGTCTTATCTGAAGGATTTGTTTGAACATTTGTGTAAGGGTTGTCGTTGGCTTCTCTTGAAAGAATTTGGTCCAGTGGTGGATACTCTAACTTAACATCTGATGTAGCGTTAGCGTTTGAAGCTGTGTTTAAATTCACGGATTTCAGCTCTGGTTCTGGCTCTTTCAAACACTCCGAACTATAGTTCTTTATGACAATATTGTTTGTCGTTCGTGAGTCAACATTTGATGTTGGTTCAATTGGAACATTAACGGCACCAGCTAAGATGGATTTGCTTCTCATTTCATATAGAATAAAAACCTTTTATATGTATGAAATGAACAATATACTCGACAAGGGTTTGAATGTAAAGCTAACGAATGAAAATATTGTTGAATTCACTGAGACAGGTGCTGTGTATAAAGATGTAGAACTACTGAACAAAAGAGCTAAGGGAAGAAGCAGGAACATGAACAAAGGGTGGAAGCCTATAAAAATTTATGTCAATGATGGCTCAGGAGGTTCAAACATAAAGTATGCAGAAAGTTATAGAGTTTATGCGCTAAAAGGTGAAAAGCCTTCATTTAAGAACAGCTATTCTAACGCATATCCTCAAAAGTTAACGGATGGGGAAGTGGATGATATGAATGACAGCAAAAATATTAACAGAAATGGCGACAGAGATGCATGGAATTTGTTTACCATCAGTCAATTGAAGGTTAAACTTTAAAACAATGTTGGTCGTTCCCATGGAATATTTTTGACTTTAATGGTATTAGTCATGATATGAATCTCAAGGTATGAACGAGGAGAGATGAGAGACTTATATGCTTCCCAAATTTCTTCAAAAGGTAATGTTATACCTGACTGTTTCCAAATGAGTTCAATGTCATAACGTGAGAAACCTTGAAAGATAACGAAGTCAGTTATGAGACGTTTTATGTTTAAAGCAAGAAAACGCCATGTTTGCATAAGTATTGCTACAGTTAAGTGGTAATGTCTGACTTTAGTAATGATGTTAGCTAATGGTGAGTCAGGCTTTGACACTAAACCTTTTCCGGCGAAGTCGTCGCAAACGAGCAGAGTATTTGAAGGATACTTTTTGAAGGGGTATTTTGAAAGTTTTGACAGAATGTAGTTTGTAAGTCGTTTCATATCGTAAACTCCTGAGTATTGACGTAAGTGGTGTTTGTCAATAATTCTTTCCATCTCTTCTGAAGTCTTTTGCATTCCTGACTGTATAAATTCAACGATGGCATAATATTTCCTCTTACGTCGAATGTAACGTTGAAGAAATTCAATGAGTTCACTGTCTGGAACTTTAACGACAGAGGCTTGAACTTTTGACATAAATGTTTTCGCTGTTGAGTCCATAGAGTCTGAAGTTGCTGATATAATGATTTGGTCATAATATGAATCTTGACCTAAACGCTCTGTTATGAGTATATGACGAATGAGGTTAAATGTCTTACCTGACCCATCTTTCCACAATAGAAATACACACCATTTGAACAGAATTCATAATCTTTGCTGAAAGGAAGAATGAGAGAAGAGTTAAGTTTGTCTGTAGTTTCATTCATGTCTTCATCTACGTCATGTATTAAATGCTTCATTTTATCTCCATTAAAAATGCAAGTCAGAAATATTCAGAACATAGCACCGAGTCTAACTGACAAGAGTATAAAGATATACTATGAACACGTTATGATGAAACCAACCAAAATTCAAGAAAGTCAGTATACTTATGAATATCCAAGACACTGGGTAGAGTATGTAGGAGGTGAGAAAGCTATTGAAATAAGACAAGTTAGAAGTATTCCAGCAGGAAGGACAATATTATTGAAGAACTTTAATGTTTTGAGATATAATGATGAGACAAAGAAGCAAGATAGTTTTCCTATTGCTGTGTATGTGAACCTAGACACAGGAGATGACATGAAAGTTTTTAACACAAAGCTTCAAACGGTAGTGAGAGAACAACTGACTGCGGAAGGGCATCCATTACCTTCAGAAGTTACCATAGCATATAATTTTGAAACAAACTCAATAGATTTTAAAGTCATCTCTGCAAAGAAGTCAGGTTTTACATTTAATGAAGCAGATGTATATTCGAATGAAAACTTCAAAGCTATTGCATGGTTAGATAATGACGATTGCTTTAAGAAAATATTTAAATTCAGTGACTCAAAGATGTCAATAGATGACCTTCGTGGAATGTTACCATCGACGTTTACAGTAGAAGGTTCAGCAGGATTGCTTACAAGATTGTCAATTGGTGGTATTTGGTCTCGTGAGAACATTGTTATAAAATCCAGTATAAGTGAATTTGCTGAAGAATCTATATTATGTCTTTCAAACTACATGTATTCGCCGCCGAAGCATTATAGTATAACAAACTTTGTCAGTAAGTTTAACATAAGACTTGTCGAACCTTCTTCAATGAAAGATGTTGTGCTACCTAAAGATGGAAAGGATGGACTCATTATTGAGATGATTTTAATTGCATATTAAATGAGCTTGTTCTTGAAGGTCAGTCATGATGAAATAACTGTTGTAGAAGATGTTAGCAATTGTTCAGACATTTTGAAGCGAATAGATGAGATAAGAAAGAAGTTAGATAGACCGCAAAGCGGTGAGGGCGAAGCCCGTGAGAATGTTTATGTTTCATTGACTTTCTCCAGTAACGAGAACTTTTATGAGATAATATTGAAGAGAGATGATTTTAATATGGTGTAAATGGTAGCTTGGGCAGCTTTAGGCGCAATGGGAACAAAAGCATTAGCATTTGGAGCAAAAGCACTTGGGGCTTATGACGCAGTAAATAAAATGAGTGGAGGAAGAGTTTCGAAGACATTAGATGCAAATAAAGGAAAGATTGGAGGCTGGGTTGCAAAGAAGTTAAGATTAAATAAAATAGGGCTCATAAATAAAGCATCCAATTTGGTTGCGACTGAGTCAGAAAATGCTTTAGGAAAGGACGATGAGTTTGCAAAACACGCAAAAGACTTTAATGACCAGATGAAAGGTGAAACAATGCATTTAAATAGAGTCGATGGAACTCTTCCTCCACCAGCAGTTCTTCCGTATGGTCCCTATGGAATGTATGGAAACCCTTACGAAAGACCATTTGACCCATTGACTGGTGGAAGTAACTGGTATCATTACGGACGAAGAAGAAAGACAGTCAAGTTGGAGACAGACGTGAAGAAAGCAACTAAAAAGAAACCAAGGAAGAGAGTTATAAAGCAATGAATTCATGAGGTGAAAAAAGAGGTGAAAAAAGAGGTGAGATGTCACCACTTCACCTAAATTTATTTTTGGGCTATGTTTTCATACATGTGAGGGTGGTGATATCATTAATTTTAAATAAATGTGGGAACAAAAATATAACATTTCTACTCAGCAGGAATGAGACCCTTACTGACTATGTATTCGTTTAATGCTTGATGAAAACAATGGTACATATTATCGTATGGGTATACACAACGTCTGTTTCCATCGTCGTCGTATATGTAGAGCTCAAATCCAGTCCAACCTTCTTTTGTACAATATGTAGCTTTATTTAAGTATGCATTTATGTAGATAAGGCAATTTTCTTCATCGCTCCAGAAATAATTTTTGTTCTTTGTTGAAATAGTTTTCGTTCCTCTGCGACCATAAGGAATGTATGCAATGAATTTTGCGTCATATGGGATTGTAATATATTCAGGGTTTCTTTCATCGTCAATGGGTCTGTCTTTGTTAAAATGCATGTTTCTCAGTTTTACTTGAGTTTTGAATAGTTCACGGAAACGTTCTGGGAAAGAGTCATAGTAAATGTAGTCGGACATGTCTTTGTAATGAAATAAAAAATTTAAAAAAATAAAAATAAGGTTATATTTTATTTAGTGAGGACGGTAGTGAAGTCGTTAGTGAAGTCGTTAGTGAAGTAGTTAGTGAAATCGTTTATGTGTCAGACGGTTTTGTAAATATTTAAGGTTAAGTTGTGTTATGGTTGTGTTGTAAAATATACGTTAACGGTTTCGTAAAGTGTCAAATTCACAAGTATTGCGTACGAAGAAACGCAGTGCCACAGTACACGACTTAACCATACTAACTAATTTCACCTCACATCGTTTTGTTTCCCAAAACAAGTACCCTTTCTTCATTGAACTTTTGAAGAAGTTGCAACTGGTCTTTGAATAATTTGAAATCATGGACATGACCTGGAACAGCACGAGAGCGATGCATCATCTAACCGTATGATGTTATTGTTGCCTGAATCTTGACATAGTGCATTTTGTGCTTACCAAAATAGAACAGTTCTTGGTTGTCCTTCGGCCTTTCTACTTGCTTCGCTGTTGCATCAACAGCTCCCAGAAGTGTTGGGTAATCAGGTGTTACCATTCCGGAATTGATCCTTTCTGTGACATGAACCCATGTGATCAATCCCGCCTCTAAGACTGGTGCACAAATCCTGCTAGTGTTCAAAATAACATCATGAATATACGTTGGATGAAGTCCAAATCATGCAACCAGATCCCTGAAGGTTGGGGCGTACTTACACCAATTCAATGTGAGGAAGATCTTGTCTCTTCTATCAACTCGTGCATCAATCCTTGACTTCTTCCACAAAGTGTTCTTCAATGAGCCATATATTCCATTGAACTGAAAGCAATTGAAGTTACAGAAAAGCTTCATTGTCTCATCGTCGCGATTCTCAAGAAACTGATGAACATCTAAAAGAAGCCTTGGCTTTGGCAACAATATATGGCGTGGTAACAGTGAAACTGGGAGACCTGCTGCTTGTATGTATTCTCGATCTCTTTCAATGTAGTAGTCAAGTATTGTCTGTGTCTCGTTATTGAAAAGTTGTGGTAACCTTGGACCCTGCTCTGGGGGACGTTGTAACTGTTGCAAGATCTGAGCTTGCATTTGATTTTGTTGCAATTGTACCAATGGGAAAAATTGTGGCTGAACTTGAGCTTGTCCGTTTCCTAGTGGCTGTGGAGGCTGAAGAGGAACAATGGGCTGTTGCTGAAGCTGGAATGGAGCTTGAACTTGCGCTGGTGGTAGAATGTACTGAGGTGGCAGAGCTTGCAATGTCTGAGAATGTGGTGCTTTATGTCGAGGAGAACTAATAATTAATGACACTTTTAAAATTACCTTGAAAATTAATTTTCAATAAATAGTAAATATATAACATATTGCATTCGTTTTATATTTCGTTGCTTGTACAATAAGTGTACAAATTTATTTTGGTTTTAGAATTTTTTCCTAGATATGTATTCAAATTGTAAATAGTGAAAATATCTATATAATATAAAAAATAAATATGCCAAAGATATTTATTTTCTATTTTCACTTTTTTATGCTTTGGAAAAGTGACGTTTTTGCCTTGCCCCTCGGACAAAGCGGTTTTTAGTGTTAAAAATTTTGCGCGAACGTGGAGCGAAGGCTCGAGCGAAGCGAGAGGTCTGAGCTCCACGTTCGCAAGTGAATATAAAAAAAATCGCCGGATCATCAAATATGTCCTATTTTTTCTTTTTTTTTTCCTTCTCTTCTTCTTTTCCTCCTTTTCCTTTCTCTTCTCCTTTCTTTCTTTTCTTTCTTCTATGCGATTTTCATTTTAAAATTGAAATATATAATTTAATTAAAGATTAGAATAGAGAGGTATGATGTATTTAATAGAGTTATTTGAGTATTTTTATCTATAGTATAGAAAATAAGAATATAAAATGAGAAAAAATAAAAATTGAAATTTATTAAAAATAAAGTTTTTATTCTGACAATACAAAGTTAGGGGTAAGAATAATATGTAATAAGAGAGTTCTGAGGTAGAATGAGATCGGTTGAGGGATGATGAGCGAGTTGTGAGGGATGATGAGGGATGATGAGCGAGTTATGAGGGATGATGAGGGATGATGAGGGATGATGAGCGAGTTATGAGGTTGGATGAGGGATGATGAGCGAGTTATGAGGTTGGATGAGGGATGATGAGGGATGATGAGCGAGTTATGAGGTTGGATGAGGGATGATGAGGGATGATGAGCGAGTTATGAGGGATGATGAGGGATGATGAGGGATGATGAGCGAGTTATGAGGTTGGATGAGGGATGATGAGGGATGATGAGCGAGTTATGAGGGATGATGAGGTAGAATGAGGGATGATGAGCGAGTTATGAGGGATGATGAGGGATGATGAGCGAGTTGTGAGGGATGATGAGGGATGATGAGGGATGATGAGCGAGTTATGAGGGATGATGAGGTAGAATGAGGGATGATGAGCGAGTTATGAGGGATGATGAGGGATGATGAGCGAGTTATGAGGTTGGATGAGGTAGAATGAGGGATGATGAGCGAGTTATGAGGTTGGATGAGGGATGATGAGGGATGATGAGCGAGTTATGAGGTTGGATGAGGGATGATGAGGGATGATGAGCGAGTTATGAGGTTGGATGAGGGATGATGAGCGAGTTATGAGGTTGGATGAGGGATGATGAGGGATGATGAGCGAGTTATGAGGTTGGATGAGGGATGATGAGGGATGATGAGCGAGTTATGAGGTTGGATGAGGGATGATGAGGGATGATGAGGGATGATGAGGGATGATGAGCGAGTTATGAGGTTGGATGAGGGATGATGAGGGATGATGAGCGAGTTATGAGGGATGATGAGGGATGATGAGGGATGATGAGCGAGTTATGAGGGATGATGAGGTTGGATGAGGGATGATGAGGGATGATGAGCGAGTTATGAGGTTGGATGAGGGATGATGAGGGATGATGAGGGATGATGAGGGATGATGAGCGAGTTATGAGGTTGGATGAGGGATGATGAGGGATGATGAGCGAGTTATGAGGGATGATGAGGGATGATGAGGGATGATGAGCGAGTTATGAGGGATGATGAGGATGATGAGGGATGATGAGCGAGTTATGAGGTTGGATGAGGATGATGAGGGATGATGAGCGAGTTATGAGGATGATGAGGTAGAATGAGGGATGATGAGCGAGTTATGAGGGATGATGAGGGATGATGAGCGAGTTATGAGGTTGGATGAGGTAGAATGAGGGATGATGAGCGAGTTATGAGGTTGGATGAGGGATGATGAGGGATGATGAGCGAGTTATGAGGTTGGATGAGGGATGATGAGGGATGATGAGCGAGTTATGAGGGATGATGAGGGATGATGAGCGAGTTATGAGGTTGGATGAGGGATGATGAGGGATGATGAGCGAGTTATGAGGGATGATGAGGGATGATGAGCGAGTTATGAGGTTGGTGAGGGATGATGAGGGATGATGAGCGAGTTATGAGGTTGGATGAGGGATGATGAGGGATGATGAGCGAGTTATGAGGGATGATGAGGGATGATGAGCGAGTTATGAGGTTGGATGAGGGATGATGAGGGATGATGAGCGAGTTATGAGGGATGATGAGGGATGATGAGGGATGATGAGCGAGTTATGAGTTTGGATGAGGTAGAATGAGGGATGATGAGCGAGTTATGAGGGATGATGAGGGATGATGAGGGATGATGAGGGATGATGAGGGATGATGAGCGAGTTATGAGGTTGGATGAGGGATGATGAGGGATGATGAGCGAGTTATGAGGGATGATGAGGGATGATGAGGGATGATGAGCGAGTTATGAGGGATGATGAGGGATGATGAGGGATGATGAGCGAGTTATGAGGTTGGATGAGGGATGATGAGGGATGATGAGCGAGTTATGAGTTTGGATGAGGTAGAATGAGGGATGATGAGCGAGTTATGAGGTTGGATGAGGGATGATGAGGGATGATGAGCGAGTTATGAGGTTGGATGAGGGATGATGAGGGATGATGAGCGAGTTATGAGGGATGATGAGGGATGATGAGCGAGTTATGAGGTTGGATGAGGGATGATGAGGGATGATGAGGGATGATGAGCGAGTTATGAGGTTGGATGAGGGATGATGAGGGATGATGAGCGAGTTATGAGGGATGATGAGGGATGATGAGGGATGATGAGCGAGTTATGAGGTTGGATGAGGGATGATGAGGGATGATGAGCGAGTTATGAGGGATGATGAGGTAGAATGAGGGATGATGAGCGAGTTATGAGGTTGGATGAGGGATGATGAGGGATGATGAGCGAGTTATGAGGGATGATGAGGGATGATGAGCGAGTTGTGAGGGATGATGAGGGATGATGAGGGATGATGAGCGAGTTATGAGGGATGATGAGGGATGATGAGGGATGATGAGCGAGTTATGAGGGATGATGAGGGATGATGAGGGATGATGAGCGAGTTATGAGGTTGGATGAGGGATGATGAGGGATGATGAGCGAGTTATGAGGGATGATGAGCGAGTTATGAGGGATGATGAGGGATGATGAGCGAGTTATGAGGTTGGATGAGGGATGATGAGGGATGATGAGCGAGTTATGAGGTTGGATGAGGGATGATGAGGGATGATGAGCGAGTTATGAGGGATGATGAGGGATGATGAGGGATGATGAGCGAGTTATGAGGGATGATGAGGGATGATGAGGGATGATGAGCGAGTTATGAGGTTGGATGAGGGATGATGAGGGATGATGAGCGAGTTATGAGGGATGATGAGGGATGATGAGGGATGATGAGCGAGTTATGAGGGATGATGAGGGATGATGAGGGATGATGAGCGAGTTATGAGGTTGGATGAGGGATGATGAGGGATGATGAGCGAGTTATGAGGGATGATGAGGTAGAATGAGGGATGATGAGCGAGTTATGAGGTTGGATGAGGGATGATGAGGGATGATGAGCGAGTTATGAGGGATGATGAGGGATGATGAGCGAGTTGTGAGGGATGATGAGGGATGATGAGGGATGATGAGCGAGTTATGAGGGATGATGAGGGATGATGAGGGATGATGAGCGAGTTATGAGGGATGATGAGGGATGATGAGGGATGATGAGCGAGTTATGAGGTTGGATGAGGGATGATGAGGGATGATGAGCGAGTTATGAGGGATGATGAGCGAGTTATGAGGGATGATGAGGGATGATGAGCGAGTTATGAGGTTGGATGAGGGATGATGAGGGATGATGAGCGAGTTATGAGGTTGGATGAGGGATGATGAGGGATGATGAGCGAGTTATGAGGGATGATGAGGGATGATGAGGGATGATGAGCGAGTTATGAGGGATGATGAGGGATGATGAGGGATGATGAGCGAGTTATGAGGGATGATGAGGTTGGATGAGGGATGATGAGGGATGATGAGCGAGTTATGAGGTTGGATGAGGGATGATGAGGGATGATGAGGGATGATGAGCGAGTTATGAGGTTGGATGAGGGATGATGAGGGATGATGAGCGAGTTATGAGGGATGATGAGGGATGATGAGCGAGTTGTGAGGGATGATGAGGGATGATGAGCGAGTTATGAGGGATGATGAGCGAGTTATGAGGGATGATGAGCGAGTTATGAGGTTGGATGAGGGATGATGAGGGATGATGAGCGAGTTATGAGGGATGATGAGGGATGATGAGGGATGATGAGCGAGTTATGAGGGATGATGAGGGATGATGAGCGAGTTATGAGGTTGGATGAGGGATGATGAGCGAGTCTGAGGAAGAATGAGGTAGAGTAAGGTAGGATGATGTAAAATAAGGGATGATAAGGAAGTCCTGAGGTAGAATGAGCGAGTTTGAGTAGAATGAGGGTTGATAAGGTAGAAGTAGGATGAGTTAGTCTGAGGTAGAATGAAGGAGTTATGAGGGATAATGAGAGAGCCTGAGGGATGATAAGGTAGAATGAGGAAAGTCTGAGTTCATTGAGGGAGGATGAGGTATGAGTGAAGGATGAGTGTATGTAGAGGAGGTCTGAGAGGTGAGTGAGAACGAGTAGGTCGAGGATGTTTGAGGGATCTGAGATGAGGGATTAGAGCGAGTAAGTCGAGGAAGCCAAGCAACAAGGAACTTCAGGTATACTGGATATACCAGCTTCCTGTAGCTCCTTGTTGCTTGAGGCGGGGAACTCGAGTACGATTTCCTCGGATACTTCTAAAAGTATGGCAAAGCCGAAGTTGATTTAACGCTTCACACCAGCCATCGAGGGGCTCTCTTCATTAGATGGTGTGCTTCAACTTCTCAAATCTTGGACAAAACCTATAATTTGTGTGAATTTTGTCTTGGATAAAAGACAAACTATAGAAATTTGTCTTTTATCCAAGACAATTCATATAGGTTTTGTCTTTTCTCCAAGACAAAACGATAATTTGAATGGATTTTGTCTTTTCTCCAAGACAAAGTATTCAATTTTGTCCGGATGTGAAGTGAACGTTATTGGTTTTTTGATAAAAAAAATAATAAAATAACGGATAAATATTTATGGGTTTGAATTTCTATAATTAAGTGATATTTATAAAGATATTGAATAATATTTAATAATGGCTTATTTAAAAATCAAAAATTTTGATTTCAATATCGAAAACCGCCCAAACTTTACAAAAATCCAAAAAAAATCGAAAATGAAAAATTCAAGACAAAAAACCTAGAGTATGAGACAGTATTGTTGGACAATGGCCGAAGCATACACTTTTTCTGATATCATTGTCAAAAAAATTTGGTCTTTATACATGATTTTTTTATATTTCTTAGCTAATATATCATATCCAGTTATATTTCGTTGCTTGAGTAATTTTTTTTAATTTCGAATATATCTCAATATAATTGCACTATTACTAGTATTTATAATTTATAAATACTATTAATATCATCAACTATAAAAATATAACATAATTAAATTATGTTCTATAAAAATTATATTCTATAAGCAAATTTAATGCATAATGTTTACCTTAAAAAACAACCAAAACTTTTTCTTTCCCCTATAGGGAACAAAAGGTCATATTTTTTGGAATACAAAAATTTAATCGGTGGAGTCGAGTTTAAAGTATTTTTTCGTCTTGCTCATACACAAGCATTTTTGAGAAAAATTTATATGAGCAATATTGTTAAGCATAATAAGTTAAATAAATCATTCCATATTTATACCCATGAATCTTTATTCTATCAGTCAGAAATAAGTTCATTTTGAGTGATGGACATTTTACGAAAAAGTGACACCTTGAAAAGTGACGCTTTCATGAGGGGGTGTCACCGTTTCTCGATCCGTACATTGGAGTGAAGATGGAGTTTTTTGAAGCACTGAAATATTATCAGTGCCTCAAAAAACTCCATCTTCATTCATAATGTATGAAATTTTCAGTAAATAAGTTATATCGCGGAGAAAGTTTCCTCACTTTGTAGAGGGAATTGTTCCTTCTAATGTATATATTCTTAATATATACATCAGAGGGAACATTTCCCTCTTTAACATGCCAAAACTTGCGTCTGATTGCAAACAATCAGACGCAAGTTTTGGCAATTTCTAGTGGGAATGGAGCCTTTTGAGGCACTGATTCATATATAGTGCCCCAAAATGCTCTATTCCCACTTTAAAGCAAGGAAACTTTCCCAAAATTTTTTTAGAATTTGAGAAAAGTTTCCGAGACTTGATGTGAGGACTACTCGCTCTAGGGCACAAATTCGAGATTTGCACATCAGAGCGAGAATTTCCTCTCAAGGCTCGGAAACTTTCCCCAAATCAAAAATTGGGGAAAGGGCTGTAAGCTCAGCCCCGGATTCGCAGCAGACACTGGCAATGCGAAACAAAGTTCGCCAGAAAGACCGGGAAGGGGTCCTTTCTCAAGGTCAGGGCCCCCTTCTAGTCTTTCTGGTGCCGGAAGGAGCGCTTCTGACCGTTCTTGGCGCTCTTTCCGGCATCATCTTTCCATTTCGACCCCAGGATTAAATTATGTAGCTCTGACCTCTCTTAAGGTCAGAGCTTCGTTTTATAATTGTACTAGGGCTGGATTCCGCTCCTGCAGCCCTTATCCCGGGCTGCAGGAGCGGAATCCAGCCCTTAGGACTATGAGCGAGGCTCTGGTCTCTGATGAGACCAGAGCCTGTAATTTGAAGTCTTTCAGGGCCGAGATGAGAGGAGATCGTCAATGATGTGGACGATCTCCTCTCATCTCGGCCCTGAGGATTGTATTTGCAGGCTCTGGCCTCATATGAGACCAGAGCTTCGTGTCGTAGGATTCCCAGGGCCGGATTCCTCTCCTGTCGCCCGGGATAAGGGCGGCATTTGGGGAAACCGGCCCTGAGTATTTAAAACAAAGCACTGGTCTTTGCTAAGGCCAGTGCCTGTATTTGTATGTCTTTCAGGGCCGAGTTCTTGCGAGATCGTCGACATGATCGACGATCATCGCAAAACTCGGCCCTGAGGATGAAAACTGCAGGCTCTGGCCACTGCTTAGGCCAGAGCTTCGTATGGGCACTCTCTCGGGACTGGATTCCTCTCCGGCCGCCCCGAATCATGGCGGTCTTTGAGGAAACCGGCCCCGAGGATGGTTTGCGAAGCTCTGGCCTTAGCAATGGCCAGAGCTTGTAATTTTCATTCAGAGTCAAGTTCCTCTCGGATCGAGCCTAATGAGGACGACCGTCGAGAAATTTGGCTCTGAGGTGATGAATTGTGAGCTCTGGCCTCGATGAAAGCCAGAGTTTTTAAGTGAATGTTTTAATGGGATGAGCCTATGCTCAGTAAGCTCGTCCCATCAAAACATTCATTTAAAAATTGAATTAAAAATTATCGTATGTATTCAAAAATTAGAAAATAAAAATGAATAATTTTATTATATAAAGAGAATTGAATAAATTCAACAGAAAATTGAATAAAAATTTCCAAAAAAATGGAAAAAATGGGAAAATAATTGAAAAAATAAGAAATTTGATAAGAAAATTAACAAATAGACAAATTTAAGAAACATAGATAATGGTTATTTATGATTGTAATGGGAAATTGAGGAGATTTGACCAGTTTAATACCGAATGTGATATTTATAATTTAAAGAAATGAAGATATTCAAGAAAGGTGTTTACAAATGCAGGGTAAAGGAACAATACCCTGCATTTGTAAACTCCTTTCTTGAATTAAATTCTCGATGTGACATTCTTTGGAAAAAGTGCTAGATATTCGAGAAAGGAGTTTACAAATGCAGGGTAAAGGAACAATACCCTGCATTTGTAAATTCTTTTCTTGAATTAAATTCTCGATGTGACATTCTTTGGAAAAAGTGCAAGCTTTTCCCATTCTGCACATATAGGTGCAGGGTGCCGGTGATAGACCCTGCATATATATGTGCAGAATGGGAAAAGTGTTTGCAACATTCACATTGAAGAACAAAAGTGCAAGCTTTTCCAATTCTGCACATATAGGTGCAGGGTGCCGGTGATAGACCCTGCATATATATGTGCAGAATGGGAAAATACTCATACACATCAAATCATATAATTTCAACTCTCTTAAAATTTCATTATTATAGCTTATACACATATGAATATATTTAAACTCATATAGAAAATGATCATAATGTGAATAAGAACATGAAATTACTATTTTCGAGTGAGAATAAGTTATGCATCAGAGAAAAAATTTGAGATATACATAATTTACTTATATCACACAAATATGCCATACTAGTTCTATTTAATTCCACTGTGTTTACATGAGTGAAACTAATATTGACTACGATCGTCGAAATCTAACATAAGGTTTTTGGAAACATACCATGAAAGCAATATGGTATATGAATCTTTGTATTCTGCATCATATACCACTGTGATCATGGCTGTAACTCATTCCTATAGCGAGAAAAAGTGTTTTGTCAGTTTTGGCAGAAAAAAAATGGAAAATTTTTGGACGATAAAAAAATTTGGAATATCCCCCGCAATTTTAGGTCGCGGCAAGTGCACCTGTGATACCAGAATGCACTTGCCGCGAACTACGCGCAATCGCCTAATCTTCCTGGAAGGAGCGCCAAGAACGGTCAGAAGCGCTCCTTCCGGCACCAGAAAGACTAGAAGGGGGCCCTGACCTTGAAAAGGACCCCTTCCCGGTCTTTCTGGCGAACTTTGTTTCGCATTGCCAGTGTCTGCTGCGAATCCGGGGCTGAGCAGCAGACACTCGCAATTGTAGGTCGCGGCAAGTGCACCTGCGGTGCCAGAATGCACTTGCCACGACATTTTCTAAATTCAAAGTTGATGCCGGAAGGAGCGGCAATACTGGCAAAAGCCACTCCTTCCGGCACATGAAAGGCCAGAAGGGGCACTAGCCAGTATTTCTCAGACGAGCAAGAAAAAAAAATTTTTTGACACTTTACATGTGACACGGCCCTTCTCAATTTTTGCCATTATGACGCCAGGGGTGCTCAAAATTGAGTAGTTTACACTCAAAATTGAATAGTTTACATGCTACGCCATTGTGACGCCAATTTTTCACTAGCCCCTGGCAAAAACACTTTCGGCAATTTGTGGACAATTCCGAACCCCCTCATTTTTGAAATTTAATATGAAAAATAGAATCTTTATTAAATGTAGATTTTAAAAAACTTGGTTATAAATTACGAAATTTTCTCGCATGGGTTAAAAAGTGATAATTTGGTCGGAAGCCACCCTTAAAATTTCTGAACGAAAACTATCAAAATTAAGTCATAAAAAAATATAAATATAGGATGCTAATTTACTGTAAATTCATAATGTAAAAAGTGTGGGTGTTGTCCTCTATATATACACTGTAAAAATTCTATCGGCGTGGAGCGCCGATAGAATTGACTGAAAATTATACTGTTATCTTTCACATTAACCATCGTAATATAGATTCTAATATCAGAATTCAGATTGTATGATCTTTACTAAGCTTAATTCATGCTATATTCACTAATTGATCAAAAAATATTTGTTATTCCTTAACAATTGCAAAATATGAAAGGCTTAATAGCTGTATCAATAGTGCTCATTACTGAGCTATATTGAAGCAGTAAATCATAAAAACATAAAATTTCAAAAAATATTTTTATTAAATGAGTAGGCTATAAGAGATATGAATCTTTTGATTGCATGAAAAGCAAATCAGCATACTATATAAGTTAGAATATAAATATTCATTTTTCATATTTTGAAAATTTTGAAACTATCAAAAAAATAGTCAGTGATGGTAATCTATTATGAATATAAAACATAATTATCATAATTCAAGTATACTATATCGCTTAATTGATCTTGTTTGAGATCGTAATTTTACCAATTTTGAATAAATAGGAAATTCAAACTGTTATCAATAATCAGGTTATGCTAGTAGTACTTCTTCATTCGTCATATTTAATATTTTATCTTTTGTCGTTGAAATCGCAAATATTATTTTGGGGTGAAGCAAACAAGGCGATCATTTGGTAGACTTTTACTGTCACCTATAGGACTAGATTTTCGTAGTAAAGTCTGAGACAATGCTATCAAAGTTTGGGCGTGGCGGCACTTCCCCAATTGAATGGAAAATTTGATTGAAATTTTCAACGCAATTGACCTTGATATATACCGAAACATATCGCTGATTTTAGATATGCACTTATATTCAACACTTTTTTTAAGTGTCTGGATAAAATTTTCCTCCGATCACTTAATAAATTTTTGCTATCTTCATTTTTCAAAAAAATGAGTGATATTATTGGCATAGACTTTGGTAATAAGAATTGTATCATAAGCGCTGAAGTTAATGGGTCAGTAGATGTCATTGCTAATCAGAATGCAAGCAGAACAACACCAGCAATTGTTACATACACAAATAAAAGGAGATTTGTTGGTGATCTTGCAAAGATGCAACAGATGGAGTTCTACAAAACCACCATTACAAAGATTAAGTCTCTTATTGGAATGAAATTCGATTCTGTTGAGAAAAAACAGATTGAGCCATTATCTACTGTTAAACTTGTTGAACTTGAAGATAAGTATACAGGCGTATCAATTCAATACAATGATACTGAAATTGTCATGAGACCAGAGCAAATTGTTGCTTATCTTCTCAAGGAGCTTGTGAAGATTGCTAAGGCTCAAGCACCAAATGCAGATAAAGCAGTTATAGCAATCCCACCTTGGTGGACTCATGAGCAGCGTCAAATTTTACTCAATTCTGCCAAAATTTCTGACATCAACATTCTCGGCTTGATTAACTCAACAACAGCTGCGGCAGCCTCATACGTAAAGCTTAACGATGATAAGCTTCCTCCAAAAGAAGCAAAACCAGTTCCAATCGTAATTGTTGATATTGGTGACTTCGCAATGAACGTTACAGTTGCTCTTATCAAGAAAGGATACTTACATATCGTTGCTACCGATTCCGACGATACTCTTGGCGGAATTCACTTCACAAACGAGTTACTTCCATTTTTATTGAATCGCACACAGCAAAAGTACAATCTTGATCCACGCCAGAACCCACGTGCATGGATCAGATTCCAGGAAGCTGCAGATCGCTTGAAGATGACTCTTTCGATCAATCAATCCGTTGATTTCGAAATTTCAAGTTTGATGAACGACATCGATGCCAATTTCGTTGTCAAGAGGGATGATTTCAACCAGCTCATCCAAGGTCTCGCCAACAGATTGCACGAACCATTGTTACATGCACTTGAATTAGCAAACATCAAGAAGGAAGACCTTTATGCAGTCGAATTAGTTGGTGGTGGCTCCAGAATACCATTGATCAGAGAAGTTATCTTCCAAACAATCGGAAAAGAGTTCCCACAAATATTAAACAACGATGAGTGCTTCTCAATGGGCTGCTCTTACATTGCACAGGAAAAGATCGATCTCCAGGATATTACTAACACAGAAGTTTCTTACAAAGATGGAGAAAACGCTGATGTTGTATTATTCAAGAGATTTTCACCAATTCCAGCATCAGCAAAGTTCACAGTTGATGTTGAAGGCAAGAAGAAGATCGACATCAAGTCAGACAAAGGTCCAATCGGTGAAATTAACCTCGAAGTTAATGATCCAGCAAAAGTCAAAGTTGAACTCGAAGTTTCACTCTCAATCTCATCAATGTTCAATGTAAACACAGTTTCTGTCATCCAGGAAGATGAATCAAAACCGGTTCCTCCTGTCACTTTTGTTTACAAAGCGATCGGAGAATTTAGTGACGAAAAGCTTAAGGAATACAAAGATTTGGAAAGCAAGATGTCGGAAGACGATGAAAAAGAGAATGCCATCGATAACGCGAAGAATGAATTAGAAAGTTTAATCTTCGAAGCCAAAAATGCTCTTAGCAGAGACTTCCCAGACAATTTCGATCCAGCATCAATCAACAAATACAAGAAGGATGTCGAAGAAATCGAAACATGGTTCTCTGACAATGAATTCGACAGATTCCCAATCGAAGAGTACCAAAAGCGCTCTGAAGCGATCAATTCCTTCTTCAAACCAGCTCAGGAAAGATACCATCTCTTCAAACAGCTAACTGACGAGATCACATCCCTTAAAGATAAAGCAAATGATTTATTAGTCCAAGTCAAGACAGATGCTGAAAGAATTGATGGTGGCGAGAAGGAAGAGTTACTCAAGCAGATCGCAGAATTCATTGAATCAGCCGACAAAGCCCTCAGCGAACCAAAACACGACGAACCGAAATACAAATCATCAGATTTCTCTGACAAACTTAAGACTCTTGAGACAAGAGTTGCTGCCAGAGCCAACTTACCTCTCAAACCAGCTCCTGCTCCACAGAAAAAGCCAACAGTTTTAACAGTAGATGAAGCAGAAGAAGAAAAACCAGAACCACCGAAAGCAGAAGAAGTTCCAACATCTCCAAAGGTAGAAGAGCCAAAACAAGCTGAAGAAAACGAAGAGGAAGAAGTTGATGAAGTTTATGATTTCTGGGGAAGACCAGTTGGTCATCGTATGACATCCTCCAATATTAGAAGGCCATCATACGTCGAAGAACCTCACGAAGAAGAGGAAGAAGATAAGAATGATTACGATGATTACATTTACGACTCATATGGCAACGTTGTTGGTCGTCGTGAGAAGCAGATGAATCCTCGCTGCAAAGAAGTTGTTTGCGAAGACAACGATGGCGAGGAATACTACGAAAACCCATTGGCAACGTTATTAGGCTGCCCACAGAAGAAGAAGAAACAAAACAAGAAGAAAGAAGCCAAGAAAGAGGAAGTCGACGAATACCAGAGATTGTTAGGTCAATACAGAGAATTTGGAAAGAAATTCGATAAAGAAATGGAAGATTTGAGGAGAAAGGCAATAGATATCAAATGTCGCGAGATAGAATTGGCAAAAGAAAAGGAAGCAATTCTTGGAAAAGTCAGAAAATTACGAAATACAAAAGAACAAATGGAAAACGAACTTTACAGAGCTCAGGAAAAAAAGAGAAGAGCCGAAATGATGAAGAACGCTTACCAAAACTACATGAATACCAATGGAGGTGAAGCATTTGACTTCCTTGGCCCAACTTTCCAGTCATTGTTCCAGCAGGCATTTCGTGATGCTGCAATGAGACAACAGCAGCAACAGAGGCAGCAACAACAGCCAAGACAACAAACACAACAAAATCAGAACCAGCCAAGAAGTATTCCAGGATTCAGAGGCCCATTCTATAGCCCACAGTTCGGATATCCAATCTTCTTCTAAATTTTTTTTCTTCGTATTCTTACTTAAAAGATTTCATCGGCAAAAATTGTTAAAAATCAATCGAATGGAATCATATCATGAACATTCAAGTAAAAATACTCTAAATTTATTAATTTAATTGGATTTTTTTACAAAATTTTGATTGAAAATAGAGCTAAAATGATTTTTTTGGAGATTTCTAGCATTGATTTATCAAAATTCTATTTGTTAGTGATGTTTCCGTGTTCAATGCATAGATCTGATATATAATAAAAAAATATCTCATTTTATTTGTTCAAAGATGCCCATGGTTAATAAAGATTTTGTATTTTTATGGCATGAAATTCCTGATAAAGAATTTAAATAAAATTGTATTTCAAATAAATGACTAAAAATTCATTACACATGTATCAAAGATTGATGAGTAATATTGTTGTTTATTCAAATTGTTATATACGAAAACGATAAAAACGGTTTGACAGAAAAGTGACAACTTTACGTGTCAAAAATATAAAAAGTGATATTTTATTCATCATTATCTTCTTCATAATTTATTTCATATTCTTCGTCTTACCAACAAAAGATGGGAATGTGAACAATTGCGGGCAATTTTTAGCCATTTTGGCTTGGAACTAGAGCCTGCGAGGTACATGGATAGTATCAGTACCTCACAGGCTCTAGTTCTCTATATGGCGCCGAGAAATTTTGGTGAAATGTGGTCGCATTTCACCAAAATTTTTTCGGCGCCATAGGATGAATTGGAGGGTGAGAGATATTATTTCATACAATACTACTCTCACCCTCCAATTCCCAGCCAAAATGGCTAAAAATTGCCCGCAATGTGAACAATTGCGGGCAATTTTTAGCCATTTTGGCTTGGAACTAGAGCCTGCGAGGTACATGGATAGTATCAGTACCTCACAGGCTCTAGTTCTCTATATGGCGCCGAGAAATTTTGGTGAAATGTGGTCGCATTTCACCAAAATTTTTTCGGCGCCATAGGATGAATTGGAGGGTGAGAGATATTATTTCATACAATACTACTCTCACCCTCCAATTCCCAGCCAAAATGGCTAAAAATTGCCCGCAATGTGAACAATTGCGGGCAATTTTTAGCCATTTTGGCTTGGAACTAGAGCCTGCGAGGTACATGGATAGTATCAGTACCTCACAGGCTCTAGTTCTCTATATGGCGCCGAGAAATTTTGGTGAAATGTGGTCGCATTTCACCAAAATTTTTTCGGCGCCATAGGATGAATTGGAGGGTGAGAGATATTATTTCATACAATACTACTCTCACCCTCAATTTTAATTACTTAAACTCATTCTATTTTTTTGACATGTAAATGTCACTTTTACTGAGATCTGACACAATGTCAGATCTCTTTTTTTCGTATATAAGAATATTACTCCATGCACACTATGTGTAAATCTAATCGCATGAGAATCCTGGTATATGCACTTTTGTCGGTACATATATATCATTTCAGGAGACATTGCTTACGCATATCTCCCAGAATTTCATAATGTTCCGCTTCCATGCTAATCTCTAAGTTCATGTTTACGAAAAGAGCTTACAGGTGTAATTCTATTCTAATTCTATTCATACTTCAAACTTGCTACGCTCACAATCTTATTAGCCAAATTTCTCATAATATTAAATTATTTGCCAAGTAAACAATTTACAAGAACGATAAATTTCAATTAGAAATATGAAAACAGAGACTGATTCTGATTTCATTACAAAATTTGCAATACTATCTTTTAGTTTATTAGCTATTGGATTTATATCACAAAGAATTTTCACAAACTCTATAAACAAAGTCTTATTTTCAGACGAAATTCCATTGCTTTCAGATATTGCGCTTTTCGGATTGTTTATCATGGCAGTAATAATAGGGCTAATTATATTCATTATGATACTTAGAACAACTGCCTTTTATTTGAGGGTAAAGATTGAAGCTCCTAAACCAAAAACTAAAAAAGAATAAATCTTTCAACATTAGTCATGCTACATTGTGCACGTTAACAACGTCTAACGAAAATTCAAATCAATATATTGTTAAGTAAAAATTAATTTGTTAATATTATAAAAAAAGCTCAAAATGATAACCTTTCAATTTTTCTGATGGAAATATACAGATACTATACTCTAATTAGCTTATTTGTTTATAAAAAAAATTTTAGATATTGTAAATATGAACAATGACCAGCAATAGTGTCAAATATAATGTTGTTTGTTAGCATAAACCATTCTGGGAGATATTATCTGCACTGTTCCGCATTTATAATTTGGGACAAAGTTTATCTCATATCAAATAGGAATGAAAGAATAAGATACATATAGGGGCATCATGCTCCTCTTACACTTTCATTCTTATGCTGAAGTCAATAAATTTGGAGTTAAAGTCTTAATATTAACTCATAGTTTATTAACTTTGGCGAAATAATTGTAGGCTACAAGGCACTTATTTAGAACCAGTATCTCGTAACAAAAATAAGGTGTACTTCCGTTTCTAGGGAAACATCGATTCTATAGATCAGTGCCACATAACTTAACATTCCAATTATAGGTGGAGAAAAGTAACTATGGGCAAACAATGTAGTTACTTTACCTTGTTTGTCTATAAATACTTTGAAATCAAAGCATAGATTGTCACTTTTATTAAAATATAAATGACATTTCCTTCATCACTAATTTCTGTTTCTGTAATTGGACCAGACAAAAGTCCAATATACATCAAAAAGAATGATGATGAAAAAGAGTCTCTTGAAGTCGAAGCTACATTATTTGAAGCAATTCAAATTATAGACGCGCTACCTCCTAAAATATACGTTCGCTCATCAGATAGATTACTTGCAAGAGTACACAAAACAGACAAATTCACTTTATGGGCTTATAAAGCTAGTTTAAACTATATTATTATTGCAATTACTCCAACGCCTCTTATAATTCTAGAAAAAGTAATGCTTCAATTTTTAGAAAAGGTTAAAGATGCTATGTTTTATGCATTTACTGATCCATTCTATAATTCATTTGCACCTTTAACATCTAAGATTTTTGATCAGAAAGTCTTAGAGCTTTCTGCATCTGTTGTACCACAAACAGTTTCGGGATCACCTCAGTAAATTTATGTTACATATTTTTTGTAAATTTCGATTCATAATAAACTTTATCCATTTGTTTATGCTTTTAAGGTTGACTATACACTGCAATGGTAATAATTTGTTTTTATCATTTTTATAACTAAAATTATTTTTTATTTAAATTTTGTGACATTAATAATAATGTTGGCACCATATGTATTGCATTATTTTCTTAATTGGACTTTATACACTGAGTTTTTGGACATATTCATTTGCCAACTCATTTAAATTAGACAATTTGAATGCATAGGATCAAAAAGTTCATATTAAATTACATGTATTAGTTTATATACATCTAACTATCAATAGATTTAGGCTAACTATTGATAGGACTCAGTAAAAAAAGTGTTCAAGATATTAAAAATCATAACATGGAAAAACCTTATAAGCTAGTCAACGTTTGTTAGCCGTTTTGGTCTAATCAAATGATTTGGATCCTGCTTGCATGAAATGAATTCATTGCTTTCTGATTGAAAAATTTAGAGTAAGGAAAAAAGATTCTTCATCAATTATTTTGTCAGTATTCTAAGGGTTGCTTTGGTAGCGTTTTTTTGTCAAGATTTTCTTCCCATTGAAAATCAAAAATTTCGGCTGATGACCGGTTTGCAGGAGATCAGGAAACTCATGAATCTCCCAGAAAATCAAGTCTGTGCTGATTGCCAATCTGCAAAGCCTGACTGGGCATCAACAACATTTGGTGCATTTATCTGTCTGAAATGTAGTGGAATCCATCGTTCTCTTGGAACACATATTACATTAGTTAGATCATGTACTTTAGATTCCTGGCCTCCAAAGTTACTTTCTGTGATGCAAGCTGTTGGAAATCAAAAAGTTAACGAATATTTCGAAGCAAATTTACCTGCAAATTTCCAAAGACCGAAAGGAACAGATACTATGGCAATGAAAAGATTCATTGAAGACAAATATGTTGCTAGAAAATACGCCGATAAAACACGTGATCCGCCACATCTTACTCTGCTTGGAAATACTCCAGTACATACATCCACGCCAACGTTTGAACAACCAAAACCATCAAATCCCATTCCTTCTGTCCTTGGATCCAAAACAATGACAAGATCTCAATCTCAAAATGCAAATATCGATGATGTTGTTGCAAGTATATCAGCTACAACACCATCAACACGTGGTAAGCTAAGAGCTCGTCATATGAGAACAGCCCGAGAAACTCATGTTCTCTCTCATTCTAACTCGGCCAATTCAATTAATGAACAAGAGCCAGTACAAGCGCCACAAGTTCAAGAAGAACAAGAAAATACAAACATTGATGACTTCTTTAACGACGAACCAGCACCAAAACCAAAAACTCATACAATTAAAACGACAAAAACTGTCAAAACGCGTCAAAAAGTTACTAAAAAGCAAACTACGGAAAGTATTGAAACTAAACCTCCACAACCTGAAGTTAAATTAACAAATACTGAAATCGATGATTTCTTCAACGATTCTCCGAAGCCACAACCGCAAATACAGCCAAAGCAACAACTTGTACAACCATCTAAGCCACAAGAAACCCAATCTCAAAAGAAGAAAACCGTAATTGTCCGACCACAACCGAAACCAGTCCAAGTTGAAGAAGAAGAGGAAGAGGAACAGAAAGAGGAAAGCCTTGCCGATAAATTGGATTTACATTTAGACGATGAAGCCAACAAAGAAGAAATTGATGATTTCTTTGACAACGACGATGAAGGAAACCAAGAAGAACCAAAAGAAATCAAGCAATTGCCTCCTCTCCAACCAATGAACACCACCATAAACACTCAACCGAAACTCAAAACATACGATGACGATGCTCCAAATCCATTCATTGAAAAGCCACAAAAAGAAGAAAAAATTGAAGAACAAAATAATGATTATTCATCAATGCCAAATGTAAATGAAGGAAATGAAGATGACATCGATGATTTCTTTAGTGATAATCCAAAACCAAAAGTAGAAACACAGCCTCCACAAAGACAAAAGACACAATATGAATCATGTAGTTTTGTTCCATCGAAAGAAACATATCATCCAACACAAATCGATAAACCAGAATTTATCGAAAAGATGGAACAAGGCTTTGATAAAGCGAAAGAGAAATCTAAACAAGCATTAGAATATCTCAAAGGAAAAATTAACAAACTAATGTCAAAAGATGAAGAACAAACTCAACAACAAACAACTCAGATTTCTCAACCACCAAGACAAACGAATTCAACTTATCAATCATATGGATCAGCATCAGCATTCACGAAACCATCAACACCTGATGAAGACATTGATGATTTCTTTGGCGAACCAAAACCAAAACAAAATACTCAGCTTCTAAATCCACAGCAAAGCCAGAATGATTCACAAAAAGTTTATAAGATTCATAAAAGAGGAACTCCACAACCAGTTTCAAACAACGAAACAAAACAACAAACAATAACAAGACAACAACAAAAACCAAAGAAAGAAGAAACATTAGACGACGCTCTTGAGTTCATTGTTGGTGACACTTCAACGAGTCAGTCGTCATCAAGTACTGTACAAAAAAAAAGAACAAAAATTCATAGAAAAGTATAAATTTTTATTCATAGTTAGTTTATTTTTATAAAATTCTTTCTCATATACTATTATCACTTTTTTCCCCCTTAATTTGCAGATAATACTTTTTTACCAAATTAGATTTCTTTTTAGATCTTTCGTCCAAACTTCTGAATTTTAGCAATGTTTTGCCCCAAAAGCATTCAAAATTTGAGAGAATAGAGAGTTATATAGTTGTTTCGCTGCTTTGTAAAACCCCATTAGGCAATTGTGTACACATATATATCCTTGTGCAGAATGCATATATCTTTGTCTTTTAATAGTCAAATATGATATGATTCTATATCAATTTGTTCATTAATTCTTAATAAAAATCTTTTTCATATCTACAATAGATGCTTTTGATTAAGTGAATGAGTATAGTTCTGTATGTGGAAAATACAATGTACTATAATAACATCCGAAACTAAAACATTTGAATAAAAATTTTTATTTGTATATCATTTGACTGTTTTATATTAATATTTCACAGTATAATTGTTTCAGTATTGATAATTCACAATATTTATATCATAAATTAATTATGTTATGGATTCCTTTGATAGCACTCGAAGTAGCATTTGGTAGTTTACTATCATTTTGCATTTTACCAGCAGAACTGAACATATACGTAATCATTAGTTTTGGAATCCCAACAGGAATTGGTTTATCAACTTTAATTTACTTCATTACATCATTATTCTTCGGGCAAAATACATTTCATTTTTTAGTTCAGCTCGGAATATTAGGTTTTCTTACGTTTGTTTTACTAGTTACCGCATTAACATTAAAATTAAAGATTCGAAAAGCGATAAAGATAAATTATTATGATATAGGAGCATTAGTATTCTATGTATTTTCGTCATACTACATTGTTAAACGATCTTACTTACCTGCTCCTCGAATTTTTCCAACGAATATGGAACCATTCATTCAAGAAGACTTATCACTTCAAGCAAGTTTCTTACACGGCATAAATAGTCCAAAAATAAACATATTTAGAATGAAACATCCAAATTTTGCAGGATTATCAGTTGTTACTCGTTGGTTAACACCATTACACAGCTCTATGCTTCGTTTAGGCAAAGCATCCATGAAAATGGGCTTGTTGGCGCCAGCCCTATTCGAAATGATTGCTTATTTACTAGCAATGTACGTATTATCAAAAGATTTTAAGATACCAGAATACATTGCGATCATTGTTCCATTCATAGCCTTAAATGTTGGTGGATTTGGCTTTTTCGGATTCTTAATTAATGCAACACGAACAAATCGTTTCGCAGATTACGTTACAGACATGTACATGGGTCATCCATCACGTTTTCATCCATTACTCAACATATACTTAGCAAGTCCAGGAACAGTATTCGCTCTTTCGATACTTTCACCATTATATGTGATAATTTTCAAAATTGCGAACAAAGCAATCAAATTAGACAAAATTTCATCACTATTTATTGGGTTTATACCAGGTTTGTTATTACCACCATCTCAGCATCAAGCATATTTCGGATTTGCAACTTATTTTGCAATTTTTGTTTTACTTTACTTATTTGAAGGAAAAGGCAGCTTTAGTTTTCCATTGATGGCAATAGGATTCTGTGCAGGCACTGCATTTCACATTCCACGCATGTTAACTCCGACATTTTTATCTAATTTGTTTGGTATTGAATCTCCATGGGCCATGCTTTACAAGAGAGGTGTTTTGTTCCCAGCAGTTGATTTCTGGATGGGTATGTATGGAACATTCCAAGTAATATTGCTTTGCGGTTTCTTTTTGTTAAGAAAAAGTGAACGTTTATTATTTTTGCCGTCTGTTGTTTGTTTCTTCATTTTTACATTTTTGAAACTTGTTCCTTTCTGTGAGTATACATCAGTCACTGTATTTTGTGTTTTCATGATTATTTCTGGTGTTGTTTATGCAGCAATTTGGTATCGATTTTCTTTGCTTCCTAAAACATTGGAATCAAAAGGAGTTGTTGCGATGCTTGCTGTTATCATGACAGTTATCACATGTTTGTCCAGTGTTATTGGCGCACAGAAACAGTGGACAAACTTGAGTCCTAGTTGGTACGATGTCGATGAAACATTGACAACATGGGCGATGAAGAAAACACCAAGAAACAGTGTTTTTCTTGCACCGAGGAGTGACATACAGGCAATTTCAGTCATCGCAGGAAGACAAGTATTCATGAGCAGCATCAGATCAATGAGACACACTGGTGTAGACAAAGAAAAGAGAGAGAGTGAACTTAAGGAAATAATCGCAAACAATTGCACAGGACTTGAAAAACTTGTTGATTACATAATTCGAGGAAATTCTGTTGTTAATGATTTGGCCAAAGAAGTTCTTCCAGATTCATGGAGTGAAGTCTATTCAAACCGCGAATATACTGTTTATCAATATAAAAAATAACAAATAAATTGTTTTTATTTTTAGTTTTAAAAATCTACTATTTTAAGGGATCCCTTAGTTTACAAAAAATACGTTATTTACACCCTGAGTCTTCTTATTGAGATCTTTTTTAGATTTTGAAACAATGAAAAGTTAGAGTATGATCAATGTATGCTAGATTTAAGTTTATTCCTAAAAATATCAATTTTATCATAGAGAAAAAGTACATTTAAGTCCAAAAAATTGAATAGTTGAAAACTAATGCAATGAGTCCTTAAGAATTGCTTCCTGATTTATTAATTTATATATACAAAATTTATCAGAACTATTACTTTTCGTCCTTAGGACAATGGATTTGGCCATCAATAAAAGAAAGTACCCTTAGAATTTATAAAAATTTTCAAATTAAGGGGGCACTTATTTTCTGAGACTCTCTCAAAAAATTCAGTACAGGCGTGAATAGGTCCTTAGATTCTTAACAAATTTTATTAGTTAAAAATATTACAATGATTCAATAGTAAAATGAAATTCTAAAGTTTCCGAATTAAACTTTATGAAATTACAATTTAATTTAACTTCAAGGATATATTTTGACACAAAATAGCTTTTCATTGACAATGATTGTCTATGATTGCATCATTAATATGTATTGAAAACATTATCACGTGATTGTTTCTTAAAATACATTATGATTATGCAAGTCGATTTTCCGAAGAATGCACAATTTTTTGACACACAAGCACAATTAAATTACCACTTTCTGACATTATCTCAAATATTCACTTAAGTTAATGAAAAGCCAAAAAGAAAATAATTGATTAATTAAGTAAAAAACAAATAAACACAACATTTTAGTTTACAAATGGTAATTGTTGAAGTGATCTAAGCTCCGATGAGGTGATATGCGCCCGAAGAAATGCCATGTCAGGCGATTTTCCATCAATAACTCTCATTAGCTCATTAATGACTCTCTTGGCACCATCAATCTCGGATGAAGCTGATCTGGCTGCAATCTTTGATGTTTCAACTTCTGTTATTAAATCTTTTTCTCTCAAGTAAAATTTCTTTCTTTCTTCTTCAAAATCTTTTGATGATCTTTCTAACATATTCTTCAATCTTTCATTCTCACGTTTGGAATCAGCAACTGCAGTATCATAAGTCTTTTTAAGAGTTAGAATTTCTGCTCCGTGTGAATTACTCATCTCTTTCTTAATGTCATTAGTTCTCTTTTCAACCAAAAAATGACATGCATCAATTGCTTTCGAACCAACAAAACCTTGTATTGAAGCTTCCCGAATCACAGTTTTAATTTCAGTTTGTAAAGAAATGAATTCATCAGAAACATTTCTAATGCATTGATTAATCGCCATTTTTTGTCTTTCATCAATAGGAATGTTCAGTTTTAGATAATTATTTTGTGAAAAATTAAGAGCTTTCTCAAGGAATGATGACAAAAAAGCTAAATCATCAAACATATGTGATATTCCATCAAGTATATCATTACCATATAATATATTAATCTTTTGAGTGATTTTTTCTTGCAATGTCACCAAATTATTATATTTTTCAACAAAATTCTTGAGTTTTTCCAATGTATCACCTCTATTTCCTAATTTTTCACATTCCTTTCTAAGATTATCAAGGTATTCTGCCGATTTCTCAATATCATCTCCAAATATAATCTTCAATTTTGTCAATCTTTCTCTGAGTTCTTTTTCTGTCTTTATTTGAGCATTGACAATTTGTTGGAACTCATCATTTGTGTTCGCCCCGATGAAAGACAATAAAGAGTTTGTCATTTCTTTCCTTTGTTTGATCTCATTGTTCAGTTTGAGAATTTCCTGTGGAATATTTGTTGGTTCTGTTGTTCCACATAATTTGCAAATCGAACGCAACAAAGAATTTTGTTGCTCATTCTTTTCTTTGAGTTCTGTAATTGTTTTTGACAAATAGAAAGAAATAGACATCGGATCAGTGGTTCCAAACTGTTTGCATATAGATTCAAGCAAAGAAACATGGACAGAAACCTTTCCTGGTATTTCATGAATGTTAAGATTTGGATATATCTTGTGCAATGACTCAAAAACAACTTTCATTTGTGTCAAAACAATATAAAGAGATTTCTGGTCTTTTACTTGAGGAAACAGGCTACTAATGATTTCAGTGTTCTGTTTGGATTCACTAATATATGTTTTCATAGCAGCAATGGTCTGGTAATGTTCACCAAATATTTTTTGAAGTTCTGAAAATTCTGTCACTTTTTGTATTAAAACTTGAACTAAATCAGAATAATTATCATTAGATTTCAAGATCAAAGGTCTTAATGGTTCAAGCATTGATAATTGCAATCTAAGTTTGTCATTTTCGAGCTTGAGTGAATGATACAATTCATTGAATTTCTTTTGAGATTCATTTTCATTTTGACTCATTAATTTTTCGAGTTCATTGACATGTTCTGTCAAAATAACAAGCTTTTTATCACTTGTTTCTTTCTCTCGTTTGATCTTATCGATTTGTCTTTGATATTCATCAGAAACTCTTTGTCTTTCTATGAGTTCTGATGATTTAACACGTTCTAAATCAGCTACAAACCTTGCTCTTTCTATTTCCATGTCATTACTCTTCTTTTTGATTTCGGATAACAAATCATCTTTCGATTTTTGCATTTGTTCCTTATCTTTTTGGAATTTTAATTCAGAAAATTTGATTTCAGCACTAAGTTTATCTTTTTCAGAATTAAGAGTATTGATTTTGGATTCATAATCTTGAATAATCGAATTCTTTTCTTGCAATGATTGTTCTCTAATTTCAGACATCTTTGATTCGTATTCATTGATTGTTGTTGCTTGAATTGTAATTTGAATTTTTGATTCTGACACTTCTTTCGTTCTTTGCAACAAATCATTCTGTAAAACAGAAATTTTCATTTGATACTCATCAATTTCCTTCTCTATTTTCTTATGATAATCACTAATTTCTTTCTCTATTTGCTTCTTCTCAGATTGGCTTTGGTTTAACTGTAAAACACTGGCCAAAGATTCACTTTTTGCTTCTGCAAATTTTTCTGTCAAATTTTTATTTTCTAATTTTTCATTTTCCAGCTTTTGAGATAATTCACTTACTTTATTTTCTAATTCAGATTGAGTTTGTTGTAGGCCTTCAACGAGATCAGCTCTTTCCTTGGCAATTTTGTATTCTTTTTCTAAATTTTCGAAATCAGATTTTGTATTTGCCAAATTATCCTCTAATTCACTCAATCTAAGCTTTGTTGCTTTAAGCTGTGACTCATTTTCATCATTTCTTGTTAATGTTTCCTGCAATTTCTTTTCACTTTCTTGCAAATTCAGAATTGTTTGTGAAGAATTGCTCTTAAACGTTTCATTCTCTGATAAAAGATTCTCTATCTTCAAGTCTTTTATTTCCAAATCTTTTGTTGCTCTTGTCAATTGTAAAGTTAACTCAGTGTTTTCTTTTTCCAATTTTTCACTTTTTTCTCTAACAATTGAAAGATTTTGTAGTTGTTCTTTAGCATCATTTAATTCATTCCTTATTGAATCTAATTCATCGAGATCTCTTAAACTCAATTCACTTTGTGAAAGTTTTGTTTTCAATTCCGAATTTTCTGATTTTAGTAGTTTGTTTTCTTGTGTCAATTCATCGTTATTCCATGTAAGATCATTGAGCTGAAGTCTGTGTTCTTTATTTTCTTTCTCTAACTCAACCATTTTTTGAATAGCATCGTTACTTTGATTTTCCAAAAGTGACAACCTTTCAATTTGATGTTCCTTTAGTTCTATTTCGGCATGTGCCATTGATAGTTTATAGCTAAGTGAATCATTGTCTGCTTTGAGTGACTTACAGACGTTTTTGAGCTTATCTATCGCTTCTTTATTTTGATTAATTTGTGATTTTGATCTTTCAATATTTTGAATTGTTTTTTGCAGTATTTTGATTTGATTATCCTTTTCTTCTATGTTTTCTTTAAGTTCGTCAATGACTTTCGATGAGTTTTCCATGAATTTTTCTTTATCCATCACATCTTGACTGATATTTTCAAGATGTCCCATACATTTGTTTAGCTTCTCGATTTCAGATTGTTGTTCTTTGACTTTAAGCTCTGATGTCTGATATTGAGAGGTAATTTTTCGAACTTCTGTTTGCAAATCTTCAATAATATTGCGGTATTCGGCTATTTTCTTTTGATATTTAGCTTGAATTTTGGAAGAATGATCTTTAAATTGTTCTTGAAGCCCTTTATATGAGGAAATTGCATTTTCTGCATCTGAATCGATTTTATACTTTATATTTTGAACTGATTGATGTAAAAAACTCGATGTTTTCTCTTGAAATTTGGAATAAACACCATTCATTCTAGAAATTAATAACTTTAATTGATTATTATCTTCGTTAAGTTTAATTAACTCGTTTTTAATAGTAAATAACTTTGATTTTGGAACTTGTATGACATTTGGATCTGATTGTAGTTTGCTTAAACGCTTTTTAAATTTTAATATTATGTCGTTATTTTCAGGATCAATGCTTGGATTACTATCTATTTGATTTAGAATAAGCATACCTATTTGTTCCATTTCTAATTCTTTTTCTGTACCAAAACATGCTTCAATAGCTCGTATTCTTTGATATAAGTCTTGTATGTATTTTTCCCGATCATCTGTTAAGTATTTTTCTATTAATTCACATATTCTATCTGGTATGAAGAGTACAGACTCTGGGCTCTCAAACATTATCTTAATATAATCATCTTTCGCATTTGATGACAAGATTTTTTGAAGTGAATTTAAGAAGGATACTTTTCTTCGCTGAAAAACGCTCAAAATTCCATTAGAAAGGTCTTCACTACTTTTGGAATCAATCAAGCGAAGAGAATACATTTTTTACCGCGAAAAAAAATTGACATTTTATATTTGACATGTAAATTTTTTTAAATTACAAGATGTCTAAATATGTTTTAATGGGAGCAAATGCCATAATTCGGCCTCCAAGGTTTGAATATGATATCAACTCCTTCCCTAATGAAATAAATATCCCATATTATGGTAAAATTCCTCGTCGTCCAATTTCATTCGAAAATTCCAAGAAACAAAAAATTATCGGTTCATTCTTTTCTCCACGAGAACAGATTCCTGAAATGTCGTGCATCATTTATTTGCATGGAAATGCATCATCACAGCATGAAGGTATGTTTTTAGCACCAATATTTATTCCATATGGCGTTGCTGTATTAACATTCGATTTCTCAGGATGTGGATTATCTGACGGCCAATACATTTCCCTTGGTTATTTTGAAAGAGACGATGTTACATGCGCAATTGATTTTGTTCGCAAGAATTTTAATGTTGGTAGAGTTGCTCTTTGGGGAAGATCAATGGGAGCTGCTACTACACTATACGCACTTGCTGATGATCCTACAATTGCAGCTGCAGTTATTGATTCACCTTTTGCTTCTTTGCCTGACTTAGTTAAAGAGATTGCCGCTAAAGTACATGTACCGGGTTTTATAGCTTCAATAGCAAAATCATTAATTGCTAAGAAAATTAGAGAATTAGCAAATTTTGATATATCAAAACTAGTTCCAATTGAAGCGGCACCTTCTTGCTTTAGTCCTGCAAGATTTGTTCATGGCGAACAAGATGACTTCATATCAAAAACTCATTCAGAAAAAATTTTCGAAAAATATTCTGGAGAAGATAAAGAAATATTCATAGTTCCAGGAAAGCACAATAGCCAAAGACCGTTAGAAACACAATTATACTGTGTAATGTTTTTGGCAAGCTATCTTAACGCTCCATTAGTCTATGAGGATGTAATTGCTACGTTATCTGGAGGAGCTTCGTATCAGCACTTTGAAAACGTTGAAGAAATGATGTTTGCAATGGATGATGAATAGAAAATTTCAAAAAATTTTAATTGAGTTCGAAATCATTGTGAAAGAAGCCACTTCAACCCTTACAAAAGGGAGCTTTGGAGCTCCTGAAGCCATATTAGCAGAGACTCTTTCCCTTTTAGGCCTCTGCTGATCAGAAGAAGATGGCAGTCATTCTGCCTCTTCAAGAACTCCATAGCTCACAACCCTTACGAAAGGGAGCTTTGGAGCTCCTTTGTATCAACTTACAGATGCATTTTTCTAGAATTTCTTTAATCATTCAAATACAAACAGTAAAAAAAAAGTATTATTTATATCTGTTAGAATTCTTTGGAGTATTCCATCTCCTAAACCATTATGGACAAAAGTTTTCCTTGCAAGGAATCTCATTCAGTTTACATTATCAAAAAAAATTAATGTAACTGCACATGAACACAGAAATGTAAAGTTTAAGTATATAATTTACATTTCTGTTCTCATCTTGCAAACTTTGAGTCCCAAATTTAACATTTTGAATAATAATGTGCTAGATTTGTACATGAGCACAGAACATATTTATCTTTTTGAAGTCAAGCAGTAGTTTTCCAATTGTTTGCGCATGTTGGAAACTCATTCTAAAAAAATTAATGTAAATTTAGAAACAAGTTTAGAGGCAAACTTCAAGTATCAGAAGAAAAATTAGGAAAGCTATGATGTGAAAATATTACACCAAAAAACAAATTTATTTAAACTCAGGATCTTCATTAATAATTGTTAATGGTGGAAAATCTGGTCGACATGGTGTTTTGTTATGAGTACCATCTCTGTAGTTGAAGTAAATGCCTGGTTGGCCAAATTTGCAAACCAAAATTTTTTCAACTTCATCACGGAAACATTTTGCAAATGTTTCGATATATTTAATCACATCATCACCTGCATCATGATATTTTGCGTATCTATATATGATACCTCCAAACAGATATCCATATATAACGACAAAAGAACTAGGAATTAGACCATATCGCCTGTCAATATCATGAATGAATTGCCTGATAATGCATTTCGCAATAAATGTGAGATCCTCATCATTTAGTTTAACAAATTTGTTAAAATATAGAAAATCGGGAAGCTTAAGCGAATTAATGTCTTTAATTTCAAATTTACGTCCTAATGCTTTCTGGGGTCCTTCCCATGTTGGACATTGAGTCCTGATATATTGTATTAGCAAGCATTTGCGGTTAAACTTGAGAAAATCCCAATAGAGATAGCCGTCGAATAATTTCATAGATATTACCCAGCTAGGAAGCTTATCAAGATACATAAAGTGGAATATGTAACCGATTAATGTAGAAAGCAAGTTAAATATCAGTGCATAAATATCGATATACATCATGATTTGATAAATGTCAGAATTAATACAAAAATTTTTGAATTAAATTTTGCCTTTTTACAAAATCTTTTTACCAAATTGAAATGTTCAAAATTATAAGCGATCTATGTATCTTTGAATATTTATGAAATCATTCAAAAAAATCAGCGCTTACTTTCTTAATATCATGCAATTTGCAATAATGATATGTAGCAATATAATATTTTCCCATATACTACAAAAATCGGTGATTAAAAATAAATGTTATATTATTTAAAGTAATTTTATTTTAGCTATTGAAATGAATTCTCTGTTACATTCTCCTCCAGGGAAAAATATCCAAAGATCTGAAACATCTAGATAACTCATAGAGTCGATACGAAAAGCAGACTTTTTTTTTCGTACCCCCTCTCAATTTTTTTTCCAGTTTTCGTACTTTTTTACAGAGCATAGTATTTGATGTCCAATGTTTGCCTATGATCAGAACTTGTCTTTCCCCTGTTCATATTTCAATTTCTGGTCTAGACATATATCACATCAAATATCATATTTGATTATTTACAATTGTTTAAAAGATTTTACTAGCACAAGCATAATGTTTTGTGCAAAGTACAATTTCAATGTGTTAATCTATAAAACTTGATTTTTATTGCATATGCAATTAGGCATCTTTTTTAAAATAGAGTTTTGAAGATAAGCATATATGAAAATGATATGTACTTGTTATTGTAAATGCATTTATTGTTATAAATTTACTCAATTATCATTGATGATGAAATAAATATTTTATTATATAAAAAAGAGTGTTTATTCATTATAAAAGGGTTCCGTTAAGCAAATATTTTATTTGTAACGGGTAAGCCCTAAATTTGCATGTTTGAATTATTGAGAACAAATATTTGCATGCAATCAATAAATTTGCTGCAAAATTATAATCTCAAGCATGTACTATTTTGAAACAATAAAGCATCAGAGAGCCTTTTCACTATGACCTTTCAGAAAATGAAAGAACATAGAAAAACTGCCCTTTATAGAGATGCCCTGACCTCAACAAGGGTCAGAGCCTGTATCTGTATGTCTTTCAGGGCCGAGATAAGAGGATATCGTCAATGATGTTGGCGATCTCCCTCAAACTCGTCCCTGAGGATTAGTATTGCAGGCTCTGACACATATTGAGGTCAGAAATTCGGGGTTGCTGTTTCCCAGGGTCGGATTCCTCTCCTGTCGCCCTAGATCAGGACGGCATTTGGGAAATCCGGCCCTGAGGACTGTAAGCGAGGCCCTGAACCTTTGCTGAGGCCAGAACTTAGTATTTGTTGCTTCTCAGAGCCGAGTTCCGCTGAGAAGTGTCCGTAATTTGGACAATCTCAGGGAACTCGGCTCTGAGGATTTTAAGCGAAGCCCTGGTCTCTGCTGAGGCCAGGACCTGTATTTTGAAGTCCTTCAGGACCGATATGAGAGGAGATCGCCAATAATGTGGACGATCTCCCTCAAAATCAGCCCTGAGGATTGATCTTGCAGGCTCTGGCCTTTACTGTGGCCAGAGCTTCGTTTGGTAAGTATTCCATGGCCAGAATCCTCACCTGCCGCCCGGGGTCAGAGCGGCATTTGGGAAAGCCGGCCCTGGGGACTGTAAGCGAAGCTCTGGCCTTTTCTGAGGCCAGAAACTGTGTATTTCTTTCTTTCAGGGCAGAATTTGAGGGAGATCGTCAATGATGTTGACGATCTCCCTCAAATTCTGCCCTGAGGATTGTATTTGCAGGATCTGGCCTCAGAAAAGGCCAGAGCTTCGTATGGGCGCTCTCTTGGGACTGGATTCCTCTCCGGCCGCCCCGAATCAGGGCGGTCTTTGAGGGAACCAGCCCCAAGGATTGTTTGCGAAGCTCTGGCATTTCCTGAGACCAGAGCTTGTGAATTTCATTCAGGGCCAAGTTCCTCTCGGATCGAGCCTAATGAGGACGACCGTCGAGGAACTTGGCTCTGAGGAGATCAATTGTGAGCTTTGGCCTCGATGAAGGCCAGAGTTTTCAAGGGAATGTTTTGATGGGATGAGTCTATTATCAGTAAGCTCGTCCCATCAAAACATTCATTTAAAAATTGAATGAATAATTATCGTATGAATTCAAAAATTAAAAATTTAAAGATGAATAAAATTATAATACATATGAAAAAGAATTAAATTACATTGAAATTGAATAAAAAATTCAAAAAACGGAAAATAAAAAGAAAAAATATAAAATTTGATAAGAAAAAACGATTTGAGTTAAAAAACGTTTCTACAAAACATGAATATTTATGATTTAGATTAGATTGTGAATAAAATTTACTAGTTTAAAGAAGAATGAGAAAATTAAATTATATTGTAAAGAAGATACTTTAGAAAGGAGATTACAATTGCAATATTATATGGTATAACATTGTACTCGTAACCTCCTTTCTATAATCTAATTTCTAATGCAACATTGAGATAAGAAAAAAATTAGCTTTCTTCGAAAGGAGTTTATAATTGCAATATAATATGACAGTATATTGCAAATGTAAACTCCTTTCGGGAATCAAATGTCTAATGTCACATTGCGGAACAAAAGTGAGAGATTCTCCCGATCTGAGTACGTACCTGCAGGATGCCATTGCAAGACCCTGCAAATATGTACTCAGATCGGAAACTATGTTCCCAATGTCACATTGCGGAACAAAAGTGAGAGATTCTCCCGATCTGAGTACGTACCTGCAGGATGCCATTGCAAGACCCTGCAAATATGTACTCAGATCGGAAACTATGTTCCCAATGTCACATTGCGGAACAAAAGTGAGAGATTCTCCCGATCTGAGTACGTACTTGCAGAAACATAGAGATATAGTATGCAGCAAATGCTTTTATTAACTTATTCACACACATTTACTTATATTCAAACTTCAATCTTGATTATATTTCATATTTCTGAGCAAACATAGAGCTTCCAATCATTATTATAAAGACTACCAATTGTAACCATATAAAAACACAATCTTTTAAAAGTTATTATTATTCAACTTCCTGTGATACGGTATTTTGATTAGATTTCGTAAATCTTTGTAAAACAAGCATAGCTCTATCATGAGCAATCTTACAATAGTAAATATATTGCTTCCATGCTAAATTCAATTGAGATTATCTTGACATTAAACTTAGAATCCTCTCAAATTCAAGGAGATAATCACAATACAGCTATATTTTAATGCTGCAGTATAGCGAAAGCTCTATGATTATTATAAACTAATGATACCATATGAGTACGAAAAAAAAGTCTGCTTTTCATATAGTTTCTAACTCATAACATATATATATATACTCTAAAAACTATTGATATTGAGAGTAAGATTAATTCATATTATCATATATACTTCTTAAATGTGTTTTGATGAAAATGAAAAAATCGACTTATGAAGCCAAAATCTCAGGTTCCAACCTGAACCATGTGAAAAAATAGGAAAATTACGCAAAAAACAAATTTATTTAAACTCAGGATCTTCATTAATAATTGTTAATGGTGGAAAATCTGGTCGACATGGTGTTTTGTTATGAGTACCATCTCTGTAGTTGAAGTAAATGCCTGGTTGGCCAAATTTGCAAACCAAAATTTTTTCATCTTTATCACGGAAACATTTTGCAAATGTTTCGATATATTTAATCACGTCATCACCTGCATCATGATATTTTGCGTATCTATATATGATACCTCCAAACAAATATCCATACATAACGACATCTGAGCGAAGGAGCACACCACAATGCCTGTCTACATCATGAATGAATTGCCTGATAATGCATTTCGCAATAAATATAAGATCATCATCATTTAGTTTAACGAACTTGTTAAAATATAGAAAATCGGAAAAATCAAGCGAATTAATGTCTTTAATTTCAAATTTACGTCCTAATGCTTTCTGGGGTCCTTCCCATGTTGGACATTGAGTCCTGATATATTGTATTAGCAAGCATTTGCGATTAAACTTGAAATAATACCAATAAGAGTCGCCTTCGAAAAATTTCAGAGATATCACCCATCTTGGAAGCTTGTCAAGATACATAAAATGTAATACGTAACTGATAAATAGAGAAATCAAGTTATAAATCAGTAGAAAAGCGTCGGCAAGCTTCATGATTTTATAAATGTCAAAATTGATACAAAAATTTTGAATTAAATTTTGCCTCTTTACAAAAGATTTTCACAAAAATATTGAATCTACAATGAAAAAAATTGCTAAACAAGATTCCAGATAAAAGATGAGTAACCGTCATAAGAAAAACCACTTTTACCAAGAAGAAAAATATTGTAATTATCACCTTCACTCAAAAGTAAAGTTCTACTGAATTGCATTCTTCTTATGTTGTTAAGCAATTTTCCGGATTAAAAGAATAAGTAACCATTAGATAAATATTTTCTTTTGTGTAAAAACGATTTCATTAAATGTATAAATGACATTACGAATGTCATGGAATAACACACCAGAGCTTCATTTTGTAAGCTTTCCATTGCCGGACTCCTCCCCTGCCTGGTTGTGACAAAATAGTTGTACGTTTAAAAATTAATAGATGTCTTTGGATTCCGTTTCTTCCCAAAAAACAATATCAACATCGAGCGATATTTTGGATAAAGATGAATTAATAGATGATCTCAATGCCCAACTTGGAAATTTTCTCTCAGTCAAGCAAGAACTATGTACAGTTAAAAATGAAAACGAATTAATGAAAAAATCAATGATTGCAAGCGAAACACAGTTTAAAACAGAAAGAGAACAGAACATGCAGAAAATAGAACAACTAAATCAAGAAATAATAAGCTTAAAAGAAACCGTGGAATTACTAACGAATGAAAATGAGCAAAAGAAAGATATGATTAATAACCTAATGGAAGAATCCCGGAAGCATAAGGAAGAAATAGCTGCATCAAAAGAAAATTCAGAATCTGAAATTGATAAACAAGTAAATTTGCAAACGGCAAGCCTTACGACAGCGTTAGAAGAAAAGAAAGCTCAAATACAAGAGCTTAAGTGCGAGATTTCAGAAATTCGCAGTGAACTCAAAATGCAAATTGAATCAATATCAGAAAAGAAGATTGAAATACAAAGGCTTACATCCGACAACGAGAAATTAAATAATAAAAAGAATTCTGCATTAAATGAGATTACTCAATTAAAATTACAAATCAAAGATTGTCAAACACAAATATCATACACACAGAGCGACAAAGTGGAACTTGAGAACAAAAATGATGAGTTGACAAAGCAGATCGCATCCTTAACAGACCAAATATCAAAATTTAATAGCAAAAATAATTCTTTACAAACGCAGTTACGTGAATACGAAGAAAAATTTTCATCATACCAACAATTATTCCCTGATTCAAATGATCTTGCAGAGTCTATTGAAACATTACAACAGGATTCTTTGAAATTAATCAATCAAGTTAAGAAGGATCATGCCAAAATTAAAGCTTGCAAGAGCTTTCTTGTTGAACAACAAGATCTCCTTGATAAGAAAGACAATGAGATAAATGAGCTTACAAATAAACTCAATGCACAAATTAACAAGAATGAAGAACTTTTAAATCAAAACAACGATCTTAATACAAGAAATTCTTCTCTCACTCATCGCTCAAAGAATCTCGATCAAAGATACAAATATACTGCAGCAATTATTCGTGCTAATACAAATCTTACTAATCAAATAAATCAATTAAGAAAATTAATTCTTCCTGATACAATATTCCCAAGTCTTAGAAATACTATTCTAGCTGTTATCTTTTCCAGGAGATGGATATCATGCAAAGAAGGGGAATTATCAAGTGATAAAGTTGATGATTCACACAATTGGTGGTGGATTTCAACAGAAAAGACAGCTTCTCAGAATGATATTATTACATATGTTGAAAGTATGAAAGAACAAATTAAATCTTCGAATGAACAGATTGAGAAACTTAAGAACTTACTTTTTGAGAGTCAAAATACTGTTAAAGAAGCAAATAATACAATTGAAGCTAAAGAACAACAAATTTCGCAGGAACAAAATAAGCTGCAAGATCACTTGAATCAAATTAAACAATATGAAGCAAAATTGACAGAAACTGTTCCAAAAATACAATATGAAGCTTTACAAAAGAAGTATTCTACACAATCTTCTAAGCTTCTAGAAGCAATTAAAACTCTACAAGAGAATGAAACAATTGTTAACAAGCTAAGAAGCAAACTTCAAGTATCAGAAGAAAACAGAGAAAAGAATGGTGTGAATGCTAGTGCAATGGTGATTGAAGTTAAAAGATTAAAGCAACAACTCAAAGAAGCTAATATTGAAATCGAAGTCCTTAATCAAGCGCTAAATGGAAAGAGAAAAGATATTCTTTCACTTGAAAGAGGTATTGTTAATGAGAAACGTTCTAAAGCAGCATTGAAAGTACAATGTTATTCACTTGCTGCTGAAAATCAAAACCTGACTAATGCTGTTCTTAATCAAGATTCTATTCCAGAACAAAAGAAAGTTGAAGATGTTACACTCCAGGCTAGATTGAAAGAAATGTCTCGCAATTTAGCAGGAACAATGTTTAATTGAAATACTCTGTTATTTTATTTGTTATTTAATGTAAGTAAAATGATGTTAATTATTATTTTTATTTCGTTTTATTGTGCTTGGATACTAGGAAATTTTGTGCTTGGTCAAAATTATAATTATAAGCGATCTTTCTCAAAAAATTGATAAAAACAATCTATGCATCTTTAAAAAATTATTTTGAACATTTCAATTTATGAAATCATTCAAAAAAAATCAGCGCTTACTTTCTTAATATCATGCAATTTGCAATAATGATATGTAGCAATATAATATTTTCCCATATACTACAAAAATCGGTGATTAAAAATAAGTAGTAGGATAGGATGGGTTGTGTGACTTTTTTTGTAAACGTAAGAATTCATACAATATCGAGCGATTTTGTATCATTTTAAAATTAAAGTTATTTTTAAAATAATTTATTTTTTTATTCTTACATAAATGACCCAACAAGTAAAACCAGATAAAATAGATTATCGAATTTTAGAGGATGGTGTTCCTGTTTATATTCAAAGATTTAAAGGGAAGCAATATTATAGAATTGTTAATCCTGAATACATAAAACATTTATTTAAAAAGGAAGACTGTGAATTATTAAACGTTAATGAATATGAAACCAATAAATCAAAATTGAAATATAAATATATTGGAAGTGATGAAAGATGCAAAGATAAAGATAAAGTTTATTCAGTTTCATATAATGAATGGAAAACCAATAAGATAAGAAAACATTTAGGAGATTATGGTAAAAGTTCCGAATTCTTCAAATCTAGTATATACGAGAGAGTAAAAGAAATTAGAAATAATTATTTTCATGAATGAAAAATAAACTTTAAAAATTAATGTCTCACATTTTTGAATAATTTATTTTTTAATTCGTAAGAAATGAATGTCAAGACTAACGACGTTAAAAAATTGGGATTCACAAATGATGAAATAAAGGATATATTAGATGAGATGTGTTATGAAGTTAGTAAATATTATTTAAGAAATTGTCAAAAATTTGCCGAGTTATTAAATGATTTAGATTATGATGGAAAAATGAATAAAGATGATGTTATAAATTTCTTATATCCCACATCTGAAGAAGAAAAACCTAAAGAACCTGATGTTTTCCCTGAATATTATGAAGAACGGATTAAAGATGATGATGAATACAATGAAATTGAAAAACTGGAAAAAATAAGAGATGAAATAGATGAAAAAATTAAGGAATTAAGAGAAGTTGAAAAATATAATGAAAATGAAGTAGAGGGTTTAATGAATATCCCAGCTTCAGAATCAACAGTTCAGAAATCTCATGAAGAAAGATATAAAAATTATGTCTCAGAATCAACACAAAATTTATTAGATGGTGAAATAGACGAAACACTTTCAGAAGAAGGTACTAAATTTATACGTAAACATAAGTTACAATTTATTGATAATGAAAAATACCCTTGTATCTTACTTTCACCACCTCTCGATTCTGAGAAATTCAAAAAAGCTCTTAAAAACGTGACATATGCAACTAATACGATTAAGAAAGAAGATCATGATATTTACACAAATTATTATTTAAATAAATGCACAGGTGTTGATAAAGTTTTTGATTTATTAGATAAAATATCAAAAGAAACCATTGGAACATATAAAATTTTGTGTGATTGTGGTTTCATTATTGAAGATACCAATAATGTTTCATATGAAAGAACAGCACCGAAGGAAGATGAAGTGGAAAGGTCTATACCATTCGTTATTAAGAACATAAAAGATATGAAAACTTATAAACATTATATTTATTCATTTATTTCAGAAAAAATGGAAGCAACCCATAAAACATCTTCTCATCATTTTATAGCTATTCATACATTCCTTTTCAAAGTTGTGAAATTAAATAAGACAGGAATTAGATTTAATGTATCCGGGTACGCATTCTTGAGTAAATTAAAATGTATTCGTCACGTCGCAGATGATAAAAATTTATGTGTTCTTAATTCATTTTATGGGCTTTAAAAATAGACTTTATTTTTTTTAATTTTTTATTCTTACATAAATGAACAAAAACGGAACCGCTAAAATGAATGATAATCAAATTAGAGCAGAAGGTTATTTAAACGCTTCTATAACATTCCTGATGGTGTTAATCCTAAAACTCGTAGAAGTTATTTAAATGAAGCAATAGATGCATATGAGGGGTTTGACATTTCATCAGAAAGTGAGAGATTAGCGAGAATGTTAAATGTTAATATTGATTTCTATTATTGTGATCCTCAACCAGAAGACGTGGACATAAATAAGGTAGACTTTCCATTAGTGGAATCAATAATGATAGATCCAGAATTTGAAACAGTAAATATTTTATTAACACAGAGTCCATGTGGAAAACTTCACGCTGACAGAATAACAGACGTTGAAGCACTCACCGGCTATAGAGTTTGTCCATATTGTAAAGAAGAAGTTTATTCTATCCGTGATGATCCAGAAAGGAAAAACCAAAGAAGATTTTTAAAGCATTGTGAGAAATGTAAAGAAAATAATGGAAGATTAATTCAAGACGTTCAATTGCAAAACACACAACAACCATATGCACCACATATCACGAAACAGAAGATATATCAGTGGTTATTAGCTCACAATTTGCAGAAATATTATAAACCAACAAGATATTATATTACTTTTGACTTTGAAACATTAGAGACTAAAGAAGAATTACAACTTTCTGAGTGTACAACTTTGAACGCTTACTTAAAACCATTTATGGTATCATCAACTGTCAAAATAAAGCCGCAAAGCGGCGAGGACGTAGACCGTGATAAAACATTTACGAGGAATTTTTGCTTAACATCAAGTGATTCGTTCATCTCTGATTGGATTGAATTTTTATTTTCAACCTGTTCATTAGTTGCTAAATCAAATATTGAACAATATGAAGAATTAATGAATACATTAAATGAGAAACAAAAGGAAGCAATGAAAGAGCTTTTAGATGAAGAATTTAATAAAGTGAATATCATTGGTTTTAATTCGGGAAAGTTTGATTTAAATTTAATTCTTCGTGATTTAAATACTGCAAAATGGAAGATAAAATCAATGCTGGGTTCTTCTTCTCAATTTAAGCAAGTCATAGTAAAGAAAACAAACTGTCCATATGAATTAAGATTTATTGACATCAGAAATTATATAGCGGGTGGAACATTAGACCAATTCACTCAAGATTTCGGAAACAATAAATCACGTGTTAAATCCTTTTTCCCTTATCAATTCATCACATGGGAGAATTACGAAGATGAATTATATAAAAAGGAACCATTCACTCAAGATTCATTTTATTCAGCATTAACCCAAGAAACTATATCCGATTCAGATTATCAAATATATCTCAATGATGCTAAAAATTTTGAGAATAGATTAGAATATTTTATTCATTATTGCAATAAAGACGTTGAAATTATGATTGACCCAATTGATAAAATTATCGAAGAAACATTTGTTTATAAAATTGACATGCTTCATAATCTTTCTTTATCATCGAATGCATCAATGATTCGTTACGCGTTAGCATATAAGAACTTCAATCCTAACGAAACATATCCAGAAGAAGAAAATGTGGAATCAAGTTTTGAATTAACAAAAAAGTATTGGAAATATAAAATTGATTCATATAAGAAACAAGATGAAAAGGTGAAAAGAGATACCAAAAACAATGTTTCAATGGGTGACTATCAATACTATCACGATTTAATCCTTTCATCTAAATGCAAAATGTGTGGTAAAGCGTTTACATATGTAAATAAACCAACATTGGATAGAATAGATAATGAAAAACCACATACCAAAGAAAATTGTCAGTTAATGTGTTGTTATTGCAATGTCGTAAAATCAAATAAAGATGAAGATGTTCAACGTTTAAGAATCAATTTAAGAAATTATGCATTAAAAAAATAATTTACCAATGACTTTAGATTCAGTTGAAGCTTATCACATTCTCCGTAATGGAATTACTGGTGGTTTATCAAATGTTCAACATCGTGTTAATCTTAAAGGAATCACGCACATTAATAAACTTTCATATAATCCAGAAACTAAAACTGTATCAAATGAGGACACCACCAACATTATGACTCATTTCGTTGGAGTTGACTTTAATTCATTATATCCTTCATCATTTTCATCTAATCCTCATGATTTCATTCAATATACTGACCATAAAATGTATATGCCGGGAAGATTGAATGGTGTTATCATTTGTGATACAGCAACAAAGAAAGCAAAAGCACTGGGAATAATTAAGAAGAAAAATACTTTATTCGTGGCTGAAGTAAAGGGTCACATTGATGAAAAATACATTAATGATTACATAAACTTTTTACCGATAATAAGAAACTTAGATATTATCACAGATGAAAAAACAATTGGCAGTTTTATGTATAATTACATGAAATCAAACAATCTACCAGTTGACCAGAAACAGAGGAAATTAACTCAGTTAGCATCAACACACAACCAATATCAACCATTTTCTTCTTATTATCTTTGGTATCTAATAGACAGATTTCATTTTATCATTGATGACATTCAATCAATTTTAACATTTACTAAAAACACTTGTTTTAATGAATTTGCGAATGAATTTATGAACGAAAGACAAAAGGCTGAATTAGAAGGAAATAAAGGAAAAAGTTTATTTTGCAAGATTTCGCTTAATGGATCATATGGTTACGATGCAATGAATACACAAAATTACGCAAAGACTAAAATAATGAATGCACAGAAGTCACGCGTTGCATGTATGTCAAATAAGTTTAAAAACATAAGAGAAATAGGTGAGGATACATATCAAGTGATGCTTAAAGATCGATTTTATCGATGTGATACATGTTTACAAGAGGCATTCTTCACTTTAGATAACGCAAAATACTGGTATTTGGTTTTCATTTATGATTTTATGTATAAATGCTTGAATGTTAATCGTTTTCATTTCATTGAAGGTGATACTGATTCATCTTATTGGGCAATCGCTGGCGACCCAAATCTTCCTAACACTCAAGCATTTCAAGCAATTGTTACTGATAAACAATTTTATGATAAAAACATTTTCAAATTCGCACCATTTGATTTCTTCTGTTTTGATGAGAAATTTAAACCTAAATTAAAGAATAAAGCTGAAGAAAAAGCACATGAGAAAAAATTATTGGGTTTAGCAATTGAGAAACAAGGTGATAACATGGTTGCTTTATGCCCAAGTGTTATATAATCATTCAACGGTTCAATTGATGGAAGTGATTTTAAAAAGATTGCACAAAAAATGAAAGGTGTTAGTTTACGACAAAATAAACAATTAACACCTAAAAATTATTTGGATATAATAAATGATAAATTGATATTTGATGGTCAGAATATTAATTTACAACTTAAAAATGGGTCAATGACTCGCTTAACAATTGGTAAGACTGCATTAACAGGAGCACACACTAAGGCTGTATGTTGTGAAAATGGATGTTGTATGCCATTTATTTAATAAAATACCACAGAAAAGACAAAAGGAACCGTTAATGATGGTTTTGATACTATGATTCAAAGAGGTGGGCACCCTTAAAACATTGATTTTATTTTTATATAAATGGATAACACAGATTTAAAAAATTTAATTGATGATTTAGTATTTAATCAAAATTTTCTTAATTATTATGATTTAAAAGCATATCTCCAAAAATATAATAATAATATAACGGGTGATGATATGGAATATTATTATCCATATTATAAAAATGAAATTTTGAAATATCATAATAAAATAATTTCTGAAATTAAAGACAAAATTAAAAATAATGAATATTCAAAGGGAAAAACTAAATCACAGCTTAAACAGTTGAAAGATTTCAAAAATAAAGTATTAACAGAAGAAGATATTGATGAATTATATAAATTATATAATCCTGAGCCGCAAAAACAAAAGGAACAAAACACCCAGGTCCTTCAGACCATAAATGATGCACAAGCTTTAATTTATGATTCATTAGTTAAACCATATTCAGCCCGACTTTTAAATGAAGATCAACTTTTGGAATTCATCCTTCAACATAAACTCGAAGCGGGAAAGTATATCAAACCTTTATATACAGCATATTTAAAACAAATGAATAAAATACATCCAGAATTAATGAAGGGAGGATTGAATTCCAAAATCAAAGCAGATAAAATTAAACCACTTGCAACACCAAAACCTCTAACGACAGTACCTCCTCCTTCAGTTAATCCTTCATCATTCACTTTATTATATCCATTTCAAACATTAAAGAAGCAAAAAGATTTTAAAAAGGATTTCAAGATATTAAATAAACCAATTGACCCGAAAATTCAACCGTTAAAGGAAAAATTTAGTCGCCCTTCATTTGCACCATATCCATATTCATACGAAATCGATCATCTGGAATATTCAAAAGGAAACGTTACTTATTTATTTGCCATTAACATTAACACTAGATATTTATATTGCATTCCAGTGAAAGGGAAAACAGAACAGGAAACAAGAAGAGCTATTCAATACTTACTAGATCATGAAAGAGTAGATAATATCAGGGGTGATGGTGATAAAGGATTTCAGGCAGCTATGACTCATTATTTCCCACAAATTAATTTTTTCTTTTCATCCTCTCCATATACGTTTCATAATAAAATAGTTGATGCAGTAATGAGAACTCTTAGAGATGCGTTAGGGGTTAACGGTCAGATATACTGGGATGGAAATCATGACTCCATCATACAACAGTTAGTATATTATTATAATAATACATGGCATAGAACAATAAACATGAAACCAGTGGAAATGAAAAATGATATTTCAAAAGAATGGGAATATATTAGAAAGCAAATGGAAAGGTTGAATGATGTTAAACATGAACAAATTAATTCGGGGCTCATGAATTTTAAACAAGGAAATAAAGTTTTAATTCATCTCGATTATGGAAAAACTAATAAATCAATGACAAAAAGAAGACGAAGATTTGACACAATAGCTGAATTTGTTAGATATATTAACGGCAATGCATTAGTTGAAGTTGACAATAAATTAATAGAAATTCCGATTTATTTTATTACTCCATTATATTTAAATAATATTTAATTTTTTTTATTTCGTAAGAAATGAGTGACAACAAAGCAGTCAAGAGTCCAGACGATGAATATAAAAAGAAACTAAATAGAATTAAATCAAAAATATGCTATTACAAAAAGAAGCCGCAATGTGGTGGGGTTGATGCCCATAAAACTAATGGAACTGAAAACGATAAAGAGAAGAATAGAGATGTGAAAACTTAAATTTTATAATCCCTGGGATGCACTTTCTTCGATTTTTTTTAAATTTTTGGGATAAATTTTGACATCTTTTTTTTTGCTGGCGACCCCCCCGTTTAGGGCATCAAAAAAACATGTTGTTTCGTTTCAAGATCGGGATATGTTGTGAACCCGACTTCTTTCATTAATGAAGTGATTTCTTAAGTTGAATAAAAACAAATTTGATTGAAATTCATACAAAATTTCTTTTTATCATTATTATTTAAGATGCTTTTTTATGTTGAATTGTTAATTTTTTTATTTCCACCTGGGATATTTTGAATTGGGCTAGCCCAATCCCACCTCTCAATTTTCTCTCAATTGGGCAATGGGGATCCCATATAAAATGTATTGTAACAAAATTTTACATGCATAATATAGTACAATTAAACAACATTCTAAAATATTAAATTCACATCATTTACTTGAAGATTTTATATTTTCAACAAAAATTAATACAATAATTACATTAAATTGAGGAGATTTATAATATTTATTATAAATTAAAATATTATTACTCATTAATTTGTTGAAATATTGCATTTTAGTGGTAAAAATTAAAATTTAAGTTTACATGGAGAAAAAAATTTTTAAATTCCAAAAAAAAATTCAATTGGGATAACGATAGGGACAAAAATTTAGAATCCCCATATGCTTGGGATAAAATCACATGACTAAGAAGAAGGAAATAATTGAAAAGTTAGAAACTTACCGTTCAATCCTTAAACTGAGTGAAGCAAAAATAAAAAAATTTAATAGAATAAATAAATTGATTGGAAGATATGAATTTAATAAAGATGAATTTTTAAACTCAATCCAAATTTAATTTTTATTCCTCTTCGACAACGTCTCTCTTTCCATCATTACTGCATAACCACATTTTCTCAGTTTTAGTGGTTTGTTATTTTTAGCAAGTTCTCGCATCATTTTTATCGTTTCCTCCCTTGTTATGATTCGTGGTAAATTTTGAGCTTGTGGGGTATCCATTTATGATAAAAATAAAAATTTAAATTATGCCGTTCTAAAGTTTGTGACAACATGACATTTTGACAACACAGGCGGAAGGCAGTTATGACTTATTTTTGAAGAACTGAAGGTGTCACCAGGTCACCAGGTAATTTAACTCATGACATTTTGACAACACAGGAGGAAGGTAGTTATGACTTATTTTTGAAGAACTGAAGGTGTCACCAGGTCACCATGTGTCACCAGGTCATTTAACTTCTTTTAAAAAATGAGACAACATGACATTTTGACAACAACACAGGAGGAAGGTAGTTATGAATTATTTTTGAAGAACTGAAGGTGTCACCAGGTCACCATGTCACCGGGTTATTTAACTTCTTTTAAAAAATGAGACAACATGACATTTTGACAACACAGGTACGAAAAGAGGAAGGCAAAAATAAATTCCAATCATACTTTATAAAGCTTCATTTACAGGTATTTCATCGTCAGTAAATGAATCCTCGTTATCGTTTGGTTCAACCTGTTTATATAATCCTTTCATTTCTTCTTTCAAAACATAACACCATGTTTGTTTACCATCTATTCTTACCTGTTTCCTATCACATTTATCCTTAATGCTCATTTGGAAATTCTTGTCTTTCATGTCTGATGGTTTGCAGAATAGAGCATTTTTACACGTCATACCTGCACACAATTCATCATAATGTGTATTTATCCATTCATCTAAAGGATTTGTTGATAATTCTATTAAATCTTGTTTGGCTTCAGTCATCGGTATGATTCGTACATTAAATGATGAAAGGTCGTAATTGATAAAATATGTTAAAAGGTTATCATAAAATTCCTTTGTGCATGAATCCATTAAATTCTTGAAGTAATCAAATTGACCCTTAAATTTACCATTTACTCTTAAAACTACGTATCTTCTGTCTCCAACTTCAATTTTGACGGGGTAGACGTTATTAGTTACGAAAATGAAGTTTGCAACGTTCTGTGCTGTTCTTCTGGGTTGATTCTTTTCATTAATTCTAATCTCATTATCCGTAATAATTGATTTCAAAGCGTTGAAGTTTGCGAGTCTGTCTTCACCTACATTCTTGAGTTCATTAAGTACAAGAAACATTTTATTTTCAACTACTGAGTTGAAATTACCCGTTAGCTCACTTATTTCAGTAATGTTTTTACATGAATAACCAGCGAGAAGTTCAGAAATAATATCTGTAAATCTGTTTTTACCTGTTCCCTGAAGTCCTTTCAAAATAATTGCTGTTTCATTCTTGATTCCAGGATGTTGAATCATTGATGCAATCCAGCCGAGAAGGTATTTATACACTTCATCGTTATTATCACAAATGGCTTTCTTTAATGAAATTCATAAACATCTCAATTTTTGAGTAATCAGGCTTTTCGAGAATGTTGTATTTATAACCCTGAAACGTTGAGAAAACATCTGGGGAATCAGATTTAAAGCAAACACCCTTAACGGTTAATGAAGACAATTGATTTTAGTAGTACATCCCATGCTGTTATGGTTTTACCTTCTTCTTTAAATAATTTAATCATTTTGAGTGACTCTTTCATGTTTGATTGAAGAACGAATGATATTTGATTCATTTTGTCGTGTATGTTGTAATCTTTCTGAATGAAATATTTGTTTCCACAATCTACAAAACGAATTACACGTGATAAATCCTCATTACTTCAGAACTGTTTTTATACTGATGATTTTCAGCCTTGCGTCTAATATCTGTTATCAAAAACGAGTCCATCAAGTTTGATATCAAATGTTATTTTTGGCTTACGTAATAAGGCAAAACGTATTCATCATAATATTCCTTTTGATAAAGTTTTAGAATCTTCACTAAAACAAATGGAGAAGTCATTAAATGTGCATATCTACTACGTGCTTTTTCAAAAATTACTTTTAGCATTTTCTGTTAAACTGCAGAAGTTATAAACGTTATCGTATGCTTCATTAATTAAATGATCCGGTAATGAATTAATAGCTTGAAACAGTGTGAATAATGTTATTTCTTTTTCTAAATTCATGTTTCCACCATCATTATGTACTTCAAAATCACAGATGCCATCAACTATGCTCTGGGCAAGTTTATCGTCAATGTTTACATCTTTGTTTTCATTCATGATATTCTTTATTTCTTCGTTCTTCTGTTCAACTCTTACCTTAATATTCAAATCATTTAATATATCGTTTACTGTTCTGGTTAATGTTGAATCATAACTTCCAGAATGAATGAGTATGTATTGATTGGTTCTGATGCATTCTTGCGAACTCTTGAATCACCATAACTACTAATGAACGCTTTGAATCATCCATAGAAGTCATTATGTCAATATCATAATCATTGCAGGAATAACATTTAATCATTCTGTTTCGAAACTGCATAGAAGAAATTAGTGTTGCAATAAATGTGAAGACCTCCTGAAGCGGTTTTAACGATAACATCTTTATCCGAAAGTTTTGATAAAATATCTTTTCTAACTGTTTCTTTAAGTTCATCATTGTACGATTTATTGATATCAATATCTATAATCGTTAAATTTGAAATTTTATTTACTAATAAAGCCATACCAGTTTTCCTTCCTCTTCCTCCATCATGTTTGAGGTAGTTATGTAAATCAATCTTGTTTTCACCAATTCTTTCGTTGAGGGTTTTAGTTTCTGCCACAACTAATTCCTCAGCTAATGAATCAATAACTTGTTCATCAGAAATGATAAAGTTGCTGTTGTTGTTTGTTGCTGTCATTTATATAGGAATAAAAAAATAAAAATAATTTTAAAACTAACTTTATTTTTGGGCTGCATCAAATTTTCGTAAATGTTGTCAAAATGTCATGTTGTCACATTTTTTCAGAGAAGTTAAATGACCTGGTGACACATGGTGACCTGGTGACACCTTCAGTTCTTCAAAAATAAGTCATAACTGCCTTCCTCCTGTGATGTTGTCAAAATGTCATGTTGTCACATTTTTTCAGAGAAGTTAAATGACCTGGTGACACATGGTGACCTGGTGACACCTTCAGTTCTTCAAAAATAATTAATTATTGAATAACCTAAATCATTTACTCACAATATTTTTGTACAAAACGACCCCAAGCTTTTAACTTCTTTTCTGCAGTTCATCCATTACTTCATTACCTAATTAATTACAAACATAAAATATATTTAGTTCATTCGGTAAGCCCAGACCTTTGGGTCAAGCACATTCATTGAACTCTATACCATGCGAATACAGTCATAAATGGTGGCATGTAATCTTTACTTTGTCCCGTTGTTTGTGTATATCCTGAAACGAAATGTGTATGGTTTCCTTCTCCCTGAGTGTCACTCCAGTAACAATTTATGGCAAACTTAACGTCGTCTTTAACATCATATCCTTTACCTTTTCATTCCTGACCAATCCCAATATCTATGCTTATGCCAACCTGCTTGAGATGTACTTAAATCTATGTAGTGACTGTGTGCAGGTAAATTTTCACCTGAAATCGTTTACTTCCCCCTGTTTCCTTTGAAGAGTTTGCACAATACAAAAACCTGTCAACTATTTGTTCCCATGCACCAACACCAAACATTACTTGAGGACCTCTTGCATCCATAGATGTATAAATAGAACCTACTGGGTTCATTAAATCAAACATATGAGATATTATAGGATTGTCTCTTTTGAACTTAAAATATAGTGTAACTATTTCAGGTTTCTTCTGGTTTGTGTCAGAATATTTTTTATAATATAATCTTATGTTTTCAGGGTAGGTAAAATCTTGACTATAATATTTATTTCTGTCATCTGTATAATAATATACTATTCTCGTTTTTTCTATTGCATTATATCTTTTATATCTATAATAATCTAAATATAATGTTAGCTTTTGTTCATCTACATGTGGTGTTCTGTCGTCATCTCCATAGTCATAATAATATGGTGCTGGAGCTGGGTCAGCCAACGTCATATCTGCCATTTCATAAACTCTTAAATATTTCTTTTGTTCGTCTCCATATAAGTTTAAGTAGCAGTTGTTGTCTAATGGAACTTTAACTTGTGTACCATTATTCTTTATATAGCCTACATACATTTCATTGTTATTTTTCGGAATGAGTTTATACCGTATACCATTTTTTAAGGAGTGTACAAACTCCCATCTAAAATATTTGTTTTCTTCATAGACAGAAACATCCCTAACAATAGTTTCAATATTTTTTGTTGTTCCTATCAAACTTTGGTATATTTCGTTAACATATGTTTTATCCACCTTCTTCTCTAACTCATCGTTAACATATTCCTTATCCGCTTTCTTCTCTAACTCATCGTTAACATAAGTTTTATCCGCTTTAAGGTCTAAACATCCTGAAACCCATCCTGTATCAGCTTTAACTTTAAAAGTCTCCAATGTCCATTCATGATACCATTCAACCCTTTCTTTAATTTCTTTATCTTTTTCATCAACGTAAACCAAATTTGCCTTCTTATTTAATTCACTAGCCACATATTCCTTATCCGCTTTCTTCTCTAACTCATCGTTAACATAAGTTTTATCCGCTTTAAGGTCTAAACATCCTGAAACCCATCCTGTATCAGCTTTAACTTTAAAAGTCTCCAATGTCCATTCATGATACCATTCAACCCTTTCTTTAATTTCTTTATCTTTTTCATCAACGTAAACCAAATTTGCCTTCTTATTTAACTCACTAGCCACATATTCCTTATCTGCTTTCTTCATTATGTCATTTAGGAAACCTTCTATGAATTCCTCATTTAAATTAAATCTTCCAATCTTCAAAACTTTAGGAAATGCATTTAATGCGTAATATCTCTGTTCTTCTGGTGGAATTGATGTTATATCATCCGTTATACCTTTAATTTTTGAATTCATAAATAAAATTTCTTTTATATTTGATATCACCGCACCACCTTTGCAAACGAATTCGAAATGGTCATTTTTCAATACTATCTCCAAATCTCCATATTTCAACCTTTGCGTTTGTTCTGCCGTCTTTGAATTATATGCATATATGGCGTATGTAATGGTCTGAGGGACCTGGGTGCTTTGTGCCTTAAGTTGTTGTGGTTGCTGTTGTTTAATCATTTATTATGATTTAAAAATAAATATTTAATCTGTTATCTCATCACCTATTTTTTCTATTTGAAATTGCCATAATATTTCATTCATGAATTCTAAATCACAATCAAATAGGTCAGTTATTCTAAATTTAATATTTGATAAATCTTTTGAATGAAGAATAAATGAATTCCCGGATAATTGAAACGGATATGATAAAGAAAATGTGTTTAAGTTGATGGATAAAATGTTTTGTATTGATGGGTAAGAGTTAGGGTCTAATGTTTGATGTGAAAATCTCATTGGGGTATTAACTTTATCACATTTGATTAAAATGAAATTGGAACCAGTGTCAGAATACAAAACATCCCCAACATCTTTTTCAAAATTTAATATCCCCAACAATGAACGAAGATGAGGAGTACAAAATTTAATTTTCAGCGGAAATTTAATAAGGTTATTTATTTCATCAAGTTCAAAAAGTTTATCGGGTTTTGATTTAAAATTTTCTTCATACCATACGATAAATGATTCATTTAAATAACTTAAAATCGTGTTAATATCCCATTTCGCTATCACATTATTTATATACATATCATACGTTTTTTCATGGTCATCTTTAATAAATGATATATAATCTGAAGGGTCTAAAAGAATGGGATTAAATTTACCACTCACAGAAACGAGAGTAACATTATAAATTCCGCTAACTGTTAAATTTAATTCACAGTTATTATTCGAAATAATATTGATAATTGACATTTTTATTACGATTAAAAATATGGTAAAGCGTTATTTTCCAGTGATAAATAAAACTAGAATAAGATTACCTCAAGAATTCATAAATTCAACGAATAAGAAATTCATTCATGTTATAAATTTTAGTGTTTTTCAGAAAATATGAGTCAGTGTCATATTCATCAACAGGTTATATTTCACTTCATTCAAATTTAGTTCAATCAAACCCATATAATGACCATTTCATAAGATTTTCAGATGGTATTAAAAATGTAATTGATAGATTAAAATATGAACAGATTGACAATATCGAATTTTTGGAATTTTGGTTTAAATATCCTGATGGAAAAAAGATTGAAGTTAAAGATAAAGCTGATACTATAACAAAAACAATTACAATGACCGATCCAGATAGTGGGAACAAAAAGAAATAAAACAAACGATAGAAACTGGTGAAAGGTCAATTATTATCGATTATGATTCAAAGGATTATTATTCGATAATGTTAATGCTTGAATATTAAATAGCCTTAACAAAGAATTTTTCAAGTGATATTTTATATTCATCAACTATTTTATTGTATATGTTATTATAAGTTAAATGAAGTTCAGTTGTTGTTCCATTCTTTGATATCTTAATTGTGCTAATATCCTTTATAGGATTTATTTTTGCAACTGTTCCGCAGCATGAAAACCTCATCATCTATGAAAAATTGAATCTTAACGTCTGAATCTTGAACATCACAAAGAATGGCGATAATGTGAATTAATGATTCATAAGGTAAAATAATTAAACCAGATTGGTCAATTAAATTTATTATTGAATCATAATTATTAATTATTATATCACGGTAAATTTTCATTAATTCAGAATTAATGTCTATTTTATATGGGTTCTCGATGTTTGATGAAAGAGGTGGGGGGTATGTTGGATAAGTGGGAATTTCAACAGGTTCTTTACCGGGTTCAGATAAAATGATTGAGTCTCCATTCTCATGGTTTTCTTCATTCTCCTCATTCTTCGGTAAGTCACGAGTTAATAAATTTGGTTGAGTTGCTGACCTTGTTAATTCAGGGCTAACATTAACTTTAACATTTTGAATAATTCGTGATTTATCATCATTTACGTTATAACCAACCGTAATCTCTGCTTTTGCGTTTGTGTTCTTTTGACTAGTGAAACGTCTTCTCATTTATAATCGAATAAAAAAAAAGAAAAATATATTTAAAGTTTTATTTAGTTGTTACGGTAATATCCCAAGGTTCATCATTGTTTGCTTATACTTTCTTTGTAACTGCACCAATTATGTTATTGATATTGCTTTGAGTTTCTTCCAGTCTTATTTTATCATTTACAATATCTTTAATCATTTCATTACATGCATTCTTAAAACCATCTGATTTTTCTAATTTACGTCTATCACTTTCTTTAATTAAATCAAAGTTATAACCTTGTTGAGAATAAAGTGGTTTCTTTATCAATTCCTTGAACGCTTCTGAAAGTGAAGATGAAGAAATTCTTGCCACTTGAATTGGTTTAAATTCTGCTTTCATTGCTTCTTTCTGTTCATTGAACACTGGATCGAATAAAGCAACTTTAAAGAATTTCTTAGCTGGAATTTCAGGTCTAATATTGCATATTGACCATCAAACTGGTTAGAATATCGTGGTAATCCATCCGGTCCCTCTTGAATAGCATTTAATTCTTCATTGAAATAAGAATATGGATTATGACGGTATGAATTAATTGGACCATTTTCACCTTCTCCAATGTATTGTTTAACAGCTTTTCCATTTTCATCAAATTGCATAGGATAACGTTCATTATATGCTTTACGTTTAGGATAATCCGTCATGTTAATTTATACCCATTTATGACTTTAATATTACCTTGACCATCAGTAACGAAAACTTCATTTATACCATCGGTTTTCCATTTGGACCCGTAATGTCTGCTTCGTGTGCTTCCCAATTTGGTCCATGACGTTTGGCATATGCTTGAGCTTCTGGTAATGTTAAAACGTTTCTCATTTGTTTAACATCCTTTTTGAAGACCGGCAACAATGTGGACTAATTCTTTCATTCCGTCTGGAACTTTCATAGTTCTATTATATGACCCTTTTTGTTTGTCCTTGTTTTAATGGAACCTGTAGAAGATTTGCAATTTCTGTCATGTTTAATTATAAATAAAAAATAAAAATTAATTATAAAAAGTTAATCAAATTTAATGGAACCTTTATTTAAATCAACTATATATTTTTCCATGTTCCTAATTGTTGATATTGTGTGTAAAGTTCATTAATGCTCATTGGTAAATTCACTTGATAAAGCATAACGTTCAACTGTTGACGACTAAACCCACTGAAAATGAAAAGGGTGGACAGGTTTGATTTAATGTTTGTGCTTAATGCTTTGAAGTATTGAACAGCATAGAAGAATGAACACTGAATGTGTCGACATTGAGTTAATAACTGATTAAAATATGATTTCTCATTTGTTATTAGTTTTGATTTCACTGCATCATCTAGAAAAATGAGTGAATGCAAAAATTCTCTATCAAAATTTGAAATAGAAAGTGTTTCAAATAATTCATCCGTTGTTTATCAATAATTTTATCCTCTAATCCTTGCTTCTTGATTGTATTATATAATTCTTTATACATTAAAAGTTTTTTAAATAATCTTCTGCTTCTTCTTGTGATAAATAAATAATTGGAATTTTGATTAAATGCTTTAAAGATTCAAATGTATCATCTGAAGGTGAACCTGAACGGTTGATATAAATTAACACATGTGAATAGGGGGAAGTGTTAGCAATAATGATAATTTGTTTTAATATCGTTAATGTTTTACCTTTATTTTGTTTACCAATTGCGCAGTGATTGAATTTAAGTAACATTCAGAATATGGAATTTTCATTAATTTTTCCTTAGATAGAGCATTTCTATTATCACTCAATTTCATTAATCATATCATTCTACGTAATGTATTATATACTCCTGCTAATTCTTCATAAGGAGTGGATGAATTTAAATTCATTTAATCAAAAATAAATTTATAATTTTAAACATTTCTATTCATCAATATTTCATCATATGAACTTCTATACTGTGGTGTACCTGTTGGATGATATTTTCAAACAACCTTCGGTCGGTGTCCATGTCCAATACGTAGTCTAGTAAACCAAACCTGAGGAGGATTTGTCACCTTTGAACAGTAAGTGTCATTTCACCCTGAATGATTGGATAAGCTTTCACTTGTACTGTAACTTGTGAGTTGAAAGTTTCTAATCCATCAAAGAATATACCCGCTCCATCACGTTGAACTGGAATAGTGCATAAGAATGAAGTTTGGTCTTTCCATGTTCTAGCTAATGGCGTGCCATTATCATCATTCAGTGGTCTAGTTAATGAGTCCTCGTATTCTTCGTGCATTCATTCACTCCATCTAAATCAGAAGCTTGAAGCATACGTGTAAAGAATATGTCACCCACTGTGGTCATCGCTTGATCGGGGAAGTTTCTGGAATCTATAGTGACCTGAAGACCTCGAAGCATTGGATTTTCTAAAACTGTTCTTTGCATTGCATTCTTCGGAAATGTTAACACAACATCTGTAACATTATGAAGAGCGTATGAGAAATCTGAGCTAATACCTTCAGGAGTGATGCAACCTCCATTTAGTGAACGAACGTCAATATGTTGAGCTGGAATCATGAATGGATCTTCCTTACTGAATAAACGTGGTATTGCTTTAACTGATTCTTCAATTAAACCGTATCCTGGTGTAATGCATTTATCCTCTAAAACTTCCATCTTTGTGCATGAAATAATAACGTCATCAACTGTTGCGTCAGCAGATGTAGCGGCTAAGCTTGTAATTAATTTGGCAGGAAGTCCGATTTGTTGGAATTTGCGATCATATTTATAAACATGATTCATAATCTTTTCATAATTTTCATCAGTTATCTTTTCATAAACGTAATTTTGTAAATCAGCAACTCTTAACGGGTCAACCTGACAAAATACTAAAGTATCCCTGAAAACATAATATTTAAGAATGATTTCACCAAATGATTTAGGATAATCATCGAACGCCTGAAATGCTAACAAATCATTTACCGGAATAATCATATCAAAAGTGATATCAACTTCTTCATTTGCTTTCTTGAAAACTTCTGAAGGGTCAATATATTTACCACATACTGAGTTATCATATTTTTGAACATTATTATATAACGAATGAACAAACTTTTTAACTTTCCTTTCTGATTTTGGTTTATATGTTGCAAATGCGAAAGATTCACGGGCGCAATCCATCTGAAGATAACCGGCATCACCTCTTTCAGTTTCTACTTCTAATTGTTTAAAGCTTTGATTTGATGATTTGTAACCAACGAATAAACGCATGCATTTAAAAGCGGCATCACATGTGAAAGCTTTATTTGAAACTAGAGTTGCTTTAACTTTGCGTTTAATATATGTGTCACCTAATTGGTTCACATCATGAGCCGGATTTGTAATTCTTAAATGAGTTTGTTTATCATCAAAATATGGAGCATCAGAGTCATAGCATGAACTTTCAAGTTCTCTATAATATCTTCTACCGTCATTCTTTGCGAATATTTCATTTATCTTTTCGAATGAATGAAACACATTTCCATTAATCGGTTTAGTGTTTGGCACCAAATAGTTAGTCGTCATTTATTAATAAATAAAAAATCAAAATTAAAAGATGAAAATGAATTTTTAATTTTAATGAAATAATCAACTATGGCTGCAGGTATATTTAAGAAACTGTGGGATAGAGTAAAAAGAGGAGCGCATAAAGTTTGGGAAACAATGAAAAAAGGAGCAAATTGGATATTTAAGAATAAAGAAGCAATTAGTGACGTTGCTGAATCAATAACGCCAAAAGCTGCCCCAATAAGAGAAATTTTAAATAAAGGAGAAAAAGTTTATCAAAGACTACAACCGATACTAAGATAAAAATAATATTTATTTATTTTTCCACTATCTACCTCCTATTTTATTAAGTATTCCTTCAGCAATTCCACCAACTGCGTTACCTGCTTGTGCTCCCATCGCCGGATTACCTGCTTTAGTACCTAATACTCCACCTATGATAGTTCCCGCCGTTTTCGCTACTGGTGCCAAAAAGTTTGCTACAGGTTTAATAATATTTTTATGAACCCAACCTGCAGCTTTCTTAATTCCATCCCACAGTTTCTTAAAGAATCCTGCAGCCATTTCTGATATAATATTAATTAAAAAATATATTTCATCACTTATATTCTAATTTTTATTTAATGATAAATGAAACCAATTTTAAAAATAAATGAAACAGAGAAGGAAGAAATAAATGAAAGTGGAAATGTTCAACAAAAAATAATCGTTGTTAAACCAATTACTGAAACAAAAATTTTTTCATCTGTTGAAGAATTTAATGACTATTATGCTAATAATAAAAAATTATTTGAAGAATTGACAACATGTAAATTGAATAAAATGTTTAAAGTTGATGGATTCAAAATTTCAAAAATAAAGGGGGTGGTTAGTTTGAAATCTATTCCTCAATCAAGAATCACCTCATTAATGAAAATAGATGATTTAACAAAAAGAATAGAAGAGATTGAAGAAAGAGTAAATCAGATAATTGATTTCATAAATTCAAATAATCATTAGTTTCTTAAAGTTCTATGTTGATTCTGAGACATGAATTTTTAAAGTTTATTTTTTTTATTTCATTATGGTAGTGAATCTTTCATTCATGAAAATAATTATTTCTAATTTCTTTTACTCTCTCGTACATACTAGATTTGAAGAATTCGGAACTTTTACCATAATCTCCTAAATGTTTTCTTATCTTATTGGTTTTCCATTCATTATATGAAACTGAATAAACTTTATCTTTATCTTTGCATCTTTCATCACTTCCAATATATTTATATTTCAATTTTGATTTATTGGTTTCATATTCACTAACGTTTAATAATTCACAGTCTTCCTTTTTAAATAAATGTTTTATGTATTCAGGATTAACAATTCTATAATATTGCTTCCCTTTAAATCTTTGAATATAAACAGGAACACCATCCTCTAAAATTCGATAATCTATTTTATCTGGTTTTACTTGTTGGGTCATTTATGTAAGAATAAAAAAATAAATTATTTTAAAAATAACTTTAATTTTAAAATGATACAAAATCGCTCGATATTGTATGAATTCTTACGTTTACAAAAAAAGTCACACAACCCATCCTATCCTACTACTAAAATAAATGTTATATTATTTAAAGTAATTTTATTATGTAACTATTCCAATCCATTTATTTTAGCTATTGAAATGAATTCTCTGTTACATTCTCCTCCAGGGAAAAATAATTGTTCATGAAGTAATATCCAAAGATCTGAAACATCTAGATAACTCATAACATATATATACTCTAAAAACTATTGATATTGAGAGTAAAATTAATTCATATTATCATAACTATATTATCACAACTTAAAAGTATAACAAGTGGAAAAAGATTTTTCAACCCATATTGAGAGTAAGATTAATTCATATTATCATAACAAGTGGAAAAAGATTTTCAAGCTCATCTAAAAATTTGCCGTCCCCAGCGAGAGGAATTATGGGTTTTTCTCGCAGAGGACGGCAAGGTTTTTAGATGAGCTTAAAAATCAAAAAGTCCAGGTTTGCCAACGACATATAGAATCCATAGAAAGCATATTTCTATTTTACACATAAATCTGAGAAGTCAACAAAGTTATATACGAGAGATTTTTAAATTTGTTTTAAAACCACATATTTTCACAACTGTTATATTTATTTCCTCTTATATATGACTATATTATAGTATAAGCTCAATTTCCATTATTTTTCTAAAGATTCTTATAGTACTATTATAATCTCGGGTTCATCCCATTCAATTTTGAATGCTTTACAAATGGGCTTTCAAATATTGAATTGAAATGGACCTAAGATTTTAACGCGACGATTATTTTTAACCTTAAAAGCAAAGATAAAAGATTTTTATTAAAATAGTAATGCTATACAATAAATGAACATTTTCTGTATAGCTTTTGCTCTTTTGAAGGGAAAGAGATTTTTCTGATCTTCATTTCGAGTATAATAGTTAATGATTAACTGGTAAATGGCTTTCCTTTGGACAGGAATCGATTGGCTTTCTAATTTTGTTTGTTTTGCCTATGATAAATTAGAGATTGCAAGGGAAATGTGTCTAAAAATCTGAAATTTAGAATTGGCAGACCTGGGATAAGTATTTTACAGCAGACGATAACACTTTTTGGTAGAATTGCACGGTCATTACCATAAAAAGAACTGCATCATGGAATTGCCGTTTAAAAATTATAATGTAATCAAAAAAGAAGAATATTATAAGTTACGTGATATAATGGTGATTACCTTGCTGATTTTCCATTAAAAATCTTTACAAGATGCAATTCTTCGAAATTTCATGATAATTTGCATTTATTTCTACGCAGAATATTTTCTCTTCCCATTTCTAATGTGAAAACGAACTCAAAATCATCAGATATTAATAAATCATCTAATTTGACATTATCGTTTTTAATTCAATTTTTATTTTAGTTATTATTAATTAGAATACTATTTTAAACCTATTCATCAAAAATTTTTATTCACAATATTTTCTTTGTCCGGACCCCAAATTTTGAGACTATACTAGAGTCAAAATCTCGAGCACAAAAGTGACATTGAATACTTGTAAGTATTGAATTCCCATGTAAACTATTCATTTCTATCGTTTTTTGTAGTCCACATTTCCTCACTCTCGATTTTACTCATAAAAATATTAAAAAATCACTATACAATATATAAAATATATATTTATATGGTTAAAACAATGTTATTTTTGCGAGATTTGAGTGTGGGACAAACTATCCAGTGTCACTTTTATTAACCTTATTTTAAAAAATTAATAAAATAATAATAAAAATTATTTGAATCTTTTACATTAATTGTTTCTTTTTTAAAAGTACCTTTAAAGTACAATAAACAAGATTTGAATCTATTGATCCTTGTTGCAAACTTGAATATATTGCTTCAAGCATTTTCAAACATTCGACTTTTTTGTTTTCCAATATTTGTTCATGGTCATTAGCTTTTCGTAATATACGAACAACTTTATCACTATTGATTAATTGAACTTTAAATTTAATCAATAATGCTGGAACAACCGTTGTGTATAATTCAACAACAAAATCGTCTAATCGAATATTCCTTCTCTCTGGGAAATAAGAATGCTTGAGAACTTTGAAATGTGACTCACTGACGTTATTAGTCGCGTCACCTCCGTTGCGATAGCGCTTATTCCAACGATCTAAATGATGCCTCCATTGCCTATCGAAGTACTTTTGGGTTTTCGGTTCAGTGGAAAGAATTTCAAGAATTCGATCATAAACTGCATCTAGGTCTGCAGCTTCTTCTTGAGTGAGGTGCTCTGGAACTTCTTCACTTGTTTCAAACGTTTCTTCTTCTGGAATAAATTCAGAATTGTTTGGATCATCAGAAGATTCTCGTGGTAAAAAGATTTGAGAAGGTTGAAATTCATTTTCGATGAATTCTTCTTCATATTGTTCCTCTTCTTCAATTTCTTCTGCTTGAAGTAAGTGAGATTGAGCTGGTTCCTCTCTAGGATTTTCTTCTTCTTGGTTCTGTTCTTCCTCGGGAGATTCTTCTTTAGTATCGAATACTAATAATTTCATTAGATTATAAAATTCTTCAAAATTGTCTCGTGATTTAAACTTATCCGCTTTTCTTAATATGGCGCGAAGGACATGCACGCCACACCAAAGAATATGACAGTTTGGAATACCTCGCTCAATTGCCTCGGCTATTTGTGAGGCGCAGTCCATACTTATCATCTCGGGTTCTCTATTAATATATTGAAAATAACGACAAACACAATATTGAATATTTTCGCTTGTGTCAGGAGAAATAAAGAAATACAAAAAAGGAAAAACAATAGTATGTTCTGTTTTTCCTGTGAGTGCATATAATGGAATGTTAGCCCTTAGAAGTTTATACGTTGAATCGATGTGAAACGTAGAAATTTGGTGACCAAGGGCCTTCGCTTCGAAAGGTGCATATAAAAAAACTAGTTTTCCCGGCTCAGAGATAAATTCAATTAAATCTTCTGGACAACTTTCTTGAACAGATTCGACAAAGATAGCTAAAGAAACTTTTTCATCCGAACTAAAGCGTTTGGAAACAATTTCAGCTCTTTGAGCAAATTTACGTAATGCATCTGGACCTTGTGCAAATATTGAAAGTAACTCTTCGTCTGTATATGAAATATTTAAGTCTTGGAAACACTTAAGTTGAGCTGTAGCATGATTCATATTGTTTTCAAAGTAATGTTTAAGATAATTTCTGACAAATAATGAGGATATTGTTTTTGTTGATTTCGGAGGTGCAGAATGATCATGAGAGTCAGAGTGGATTAGTAGTTCATATTTATCTTGATCTATTATCCGGACTTTGAATTTAGCTTGACATTGTGGATACTTACATTTGTATTCGATCGTGGAGTATTCTTTCCTGCATTTTTGAGAGTAGCCCATGCTAGCTTTTATCTCTTCTTGGATACCAAACTGGAGGAGCTCCATAGTGTTGAATATCACGGGCTCCATACAACAAATTGAATAAGGTATTTCAAAGTTAGTATGGGTTAGTTGGGTATGGTGGCACTGCGAGCCTCCTTACCCATTATATGTGAATTTGACACTTTACAAAACCGTTAACGTATATTTTACAAATCAAACACAAAAACTAACTTAACCTTAAATATTTACAAAGCCGCCAACCACTTCACCTCACTAACGACTTCGCTAACGAACTCACTAATGAAAAAATAAACGTTCTCATAAATTTTCTTCTATATCTTCATCGTCAATGTTAACTCTATTGTAGTCATACTTGAAGTCATAAAGTTTCTCAAGTTTTGAAATGCATAGTCTTGTTAACTTACCTTCATCATCATAAGTTTTTATAAAACTACCATGACAATCTTTATACACAGTCAATGTATAATCTACTGGTCTAGGATGAAGTGTAAAGAACATGTTATACTCAGGAAGGAAGAATAAATGTTTAAATGTATGTTTGTTATATTTTTCGATTTGTATGAGTTGCTTTTGTTCTGTCATTTATATAAAAATAAAATAAAAAATAAACTTAAAAATTAATGATATCACTACCTTCACGCGTATGAAAACATAGCACAAAAATAAATTTAGGTGAAGTGGTGAGATCTCACCTCTTTTTTCACCCTGTTGAATTCATTGCTTTATAACTCTCTTCCTTGGTTTCTTTTTAGTTGCTTTCTTCACGTCCGTCTCCAACTTGACTGTCTTTCTTCTTCGTCCGTAATGATACCAATTACTTCCACCAGTCAATGGGTCAAATGGTCTTTCGTAAGGGTTTCCATACATTCCATAGGGACCATACGGAAGAACTACTGGTGGAGAAGAAACATTTTCTTTAGTTCCATCGAATCTATTTAAATGCATTGTTTCACCTTTCATCTGGTCATTAAAGTCTTTTGCGTGTTTTGCAAACTCATCGTCCTTTCCTAAAGCATTTTCTGACTCAGTCGCAACCAAATTGGATGCTTTATTTATGAGCCCTATTTTATTTAATCTTAACTTCTTTACAACCCAGCCTCCAATCTTCCCTTTATTTGCGTCTAATGTCTTCGAAACCCTTCCTCCACTCATTTTATTTACTGCGTCATAAGCTCCAAGTGCTTTTGCTCCAAATGCTAATGCTTTTGTTCCCATTGCGCCTAAAGCTGCCCAAGCTACCATTTACCCCATATTAAAATCATCTCTCTTCAATATTATCTCATAAAAGTTCTCGTTACTGGAGAAAGTCAATGAAACATAAACGTTCTCATTCATAAACTTCTTTCTTATCTCATCTATACGCTTCAAAATGTCTGAACAATTGCTAACATCTTCTACAACAGTTATTTCATCATGAATGACCTTCAAGAACAAGCTCATTTAATATGCTATTAAAATCATCTCAATAATGAGTCCATCCTTTCCATCTTTAGGTAGCACAACATCTTTCATTGAAGAAGGTTCGACAAGTCTTATGTTAAACTTACTGACAAAGTTTGTTATACTATAATGCTTCGGCGGCGAATACATGTAGTTTGAAAGACATAATATAGATTCTTCAGCAAATTCACTTATACTGGATTTTATAACAATGTTCTCACGAGACCAAATACCACCAATTGACAATCTTGTAAGCAATCCTGCTGAACCTTCTACTGTAAACGTCGATGGTAACATTCCACGAAGGTCATCTATTGACATCTTTGAGTCACTGAATTTAAATATTTTCTTAAAGCAATCGTCATTATCTAACCATGCAATAGCTTTGAAGTTTTCATTCGAATATACATCTGCTTCATTAAATGTAAATCCTGACTTCTTTGCAGAGACGACTTTAAAATCTATTGAGTTTGTTTCAAAATTATATGCTATGGTAACTTCTGAAGGTAATGGATGCCCTTCCGCAGTCAGTTGTTCTCTCACTACCGTTTGAAGCTTTGTATTAAAAACTTTCATGTCATCTCCTGTATCTAAGTTCACATACACAGCAACAGGGAAACTATCTTGCTTCTTTGTTTCATCATTATATCTCAAAACATTAAAGTTCTTCAATAATATTGTTCTTCCTGCTGGAATACTTCGAACCTGTCTGATTTCAATAGCTTTCTCACCTCCTACATACTCTACCCAGTGTCTTGGATATTCATAAGTATACTGACTTTCTTGAATTTTGGTTGGTTTCATCATAACATGTTCATAGTATATCTTTATACTCTTGTCAGTTAGACTCGGTGCTATGTTCTGAATATTTCTGACTTGCATTTTTAATAGAGATAAAATGAAGCATTTAATACATGACGTAGATGAAGACATGAATGAAAGCAGTGAAAAGCTCAACAGTTCTCTCATTCTTCCTTTCAGTAAGGACTATGAGTTCTGTTCAAATGGCGTTTATTTCTATTGTGGAAAGATGGGGTCAGGAAAGACATTTAATTTAATTCGTCATATTCTTATAACAGAACGTTTAGGAAATGACTCATATTATGACCAAATCATTATATCAGCAACTTCAGACTCTATGGACTCAACAGCGAAAACATTTATGTCAAAAGTTCAAGCCTCTGTCGTTAAAGTTCCAGACAGTGAACTCATTGAATTTCTTCAACGTTACATTCGACGTAAGAGGAAATATTATGCCATCGTTGAATTTATACAGTCAGGAATGCAAAAGACTTCTGAGGAGATGGAAAGAATTATTGACAAACACCACTTACGTCAGTACTCAGGAGTTTACGATATGAAACGACTGACAAACTACATTCTATCAAAACTTTCAAAATACCCCTTCAAAAAATATCCTTCAAACACTCTGCTCGTTTGCGACGACTTCGCCGGAAAAGGTTTAGTGTCAAAACCAGACTCACCATTAGCTAACATCATAACTAAAGTCAGACATTACCATTTAACTGTAGCAATACTTATGCAAACATGGAGGTTTTTAGCTTTAAACATAAAACGTCTCATAACTGACTTCGTTATCTTTCAAGGTTTCTCACGCTATGATATTGAACTCATTTGGAAACAGTCAGGTATAACATTACCTTTTGAAGAAATTTGGGAAGCATATAAGTCTCTCATCTCTCCGCGTTCATACCTTGAGATTCATATCATGACTAATACCATTAAAGTCAAAAATATTCCATGGGAACGACCAACATTGTTTTAAAGTTTAACCTTCAATTGACTGATGGTAAACAAATTCCATGCATCTCTGTCGCCATTTCTGTTAATATTTTTGCTGTCATTCATATCATCCACTTCCCCATCCGTTAGCTTTTGAGGATATGCGTTAGAATAGCTGTTCTTAAATGAAGGCTTTTCACCTTTGAGAGCATAAACTCTATAACTTTCTGCATACTTTATGTTTGAACCTCCTGAGCCATCATTGACATAAATTTTTATAGGCTTCCACCCTTTGTTCATGTTCCTGCTTCTCCCCTTAGCTCTTTTGTTCAGTAGTTCTACATCTTTATACACAGCACCTGTCTCAGTGAATTCAACAATATTTTCATTCGTTAGCTTTACATTCAAACCCTTGTCGAGTATATTGTTCATTTCATACATATAAAAGGTTTTTATTCTATATGAAATGAGAAGCAAATCCATCTTAGCTGGTGCCGTTAATGTTCCAATTGAACCAACATCAAATGTTGACTCACGAACGACAAACAATATTGTCATAAAGAACTATAGTTCAGAGTGTTTGAAAGAAAAAGAACCAGAACTTAAGTCGGTGAATTTAAACTCAGCTTCAAACGCTAACGCTACATCAGATGTTAAGTTAGAGTATCCACCACTGGACCAAATTCTTTCAAGAGAAGCCAACGACAATCCTTATACAAATGTTCAAACAAATCCTTCAGATAACGTAGACCATTACCTTCTTCAGTTATACCAAACAATTTTACTCAAAGACGATAAGAAGCTTTTGACAAATCTTATAAGCAAGAACCAAATAATTCTAACAAAGGAGGATTTAGAAAATGTTATCTCACGAATAACAGGGAAACAATGTGTCATTGACTATCTCGACCCTGAAATCGAATGCTGTGGTCAAACTCCACTATTCATGAAAATAGGTAACATCCGCATCATTGAAACACCAGGAACTACAGGAGTTGAGTTTAAGTATAAATATTCGAATGAATATACAAAACTTTCAACAGAATATAAACTTTGCTTGAAATATGTTTTAGTAAATTAAAGCAGTCAGGACCTTCGGTCTTGGCGCTTTGCGCCGTCAGTCAAAAAATTTCAAGTTAGCAATTTGTAATATCTGTCCAAAACTTCTTCAACAGTATCGAACTCATCTTCATAATGCAAACCTAATCTTATTGACTTGGTGCAGTTTTCACTAACACAATATTTTTCTGTTCTCTTGACTGACATAACTAACTCATTTGTTTCATCAAACAGCAACAACCAAAGTTCATGACCTAATACATAACATTCATACTTTATATTTTTAGCTCTGAGTTCTCTTGTAAGCTGTTGCATTTAATATTTTCTAAAAAGTCAACTTCAACAGTCATTCGCACTGGTGCCTTCAGTTCTACAGGCTCTCCTTGAAAGTCAACAAGTCTGAATTGCATGTCTTTCAAATTATGAGGACTAATGCGAACCCATTTACCTAAATGAGTTGCTATGACAGGAACGTTTGGAATGAACATTGAATTGACTGCATAACAGAAGGATTTATATTCTACTGAACCTTTACTATTAACTCCTGAAATGCCTGTGACATTAGCTATTTTAGACTCAATGTATAAACAATTACCATAACATACGTATGGAACAGATTTCATCTCAATCGTTTTGTCAACACTTTTCAAAGGAAATGTCATATGGTATGCACCCAAAAGAAGTTGTACTCTATGACTCATTCGTGTTATCTTAAACTCCTTCGCATAACTGAACTTCAATGTTCCCTCAGAAGAGAGTTCGACATCTATGTTGTCAATAGTTTCTTCATTTATGAGAGTATCTATGACTCCAGCAATTTTATCTATTCTGTACTCGGCTCTGTTAGGAAATGTTATAACACTTCTTTTGTCATCTATTTCAATCTCTATGAAATCTGTTTCATCTGTTATGACAAAAGTTGCGATAGTATTGAAGTCAACAACTCTGAAAGCAAGCGCTTCATTCTGAAGACCTAAGTTTGTTTGTAGCTTTACTGTCCCGTATTCGTTTGGGTCTGTACTTTGCAAATAGAACAACATTTTATTCTCATTAAAATATGACTATTGCTGCATATGCGTATGAAACAAATGAAGCAAGAAGAGCACATGAACTAGTAAACGAAAACTCAACTTTAACCATTGAAGGCAATGATTTAGTCATTGACGATGGAAAGACTAAAAAAGTCATTGATTTCGATACTTTTAACACTTATGACCCATTCATTACAATAAGTAAAGTTCCCATCATAAATGATGGAACGGTGCAATATATAAATTCTACAGTAGATGCCTCATTAGTGAAAGTATTAAATGTTCTCATTGAATTGTTAAAGAACTTTCGATTTGACGACAACATTAAATGCCTAAAGAATTTAGTCATGAATGAGAAACAAATTCTCGGCGTTGCTGGTAGCAGTAATGATGTACACCTTATGACATTAGAATATTATAACGAACATAAAGATGAACTGAAAGGAGAGAAGGGTGACACTGGACCTCAAGGACCACAAGGAATACAAGGAATACAAGGACCTCAAGGCGAAAACGGTTTGGATGGTGAAGATGGAAAGGATGGAAAAACTGCTAAATCATGGATATGGAACCTTATAAATACTGGTTTAACAGCTGCTTCATATGGAGTTCTTCAATACCAAATCGGAAAGATATGGGCAGTACTTGGTGAAGAAGTTTTAGATGACGTTAAAAATGCTTTGAACTTCATTTCAAATGGTTCGGATACTATTAAAACTTTATCTGGTTGGATGCAAGAAACAAGGAGTCAAATAGATACTGTAAGACGTATAGCAAACAATGCACGTACGGGATTGGATACTTTACGAGAAGCACAAAGTACACTAAAGGAAGCAAATGATATTCTTGGCTCAGTATCAGACATGCATGAAGATTGGCTTAAAGGTATTGACAAATCTTTAAAAAATCACAGTCAGTCTATTGCTGACTACAAGAAAAGTATAGATTTTTTACATAGTGCTATGGACGTACATGATGGAAGCATAAGGAACTTACTTAATGCTAACAATAACTTACCAGGAACTATTAAAGCATTTATAAAGTCCTTTGTAAAACCTGGTGCTCTAACATTTAGGTCTTTGAGAGCAAGAGCATTGAAGTCAAGAGATGCAGAAACTCCAATAGAACCTACAGAAGGAACTGAAACAACAGAAACTCCAGAAGAACCACCAAAACCAACAGCTAATGAAATATTGTTCGAATATTTTCCAAGGTACTCTGTTCTCATTGCATACATTCAAGAAATACTTAAGAAAGCAGACTTGACTTTAGGAGATGATGAAAGTTCTGTATATCTTTCGTTCCAGTTTCAAATAGCAGAACTTTTGAGACAGATATGCTTAATGTATGACAACATCTCTGATTTCACAAGATATGATGACGACCATGACCCCGAACACGGTGAAGAAGAAGTTTTACAAACATCCATTAAGACAGGAAAGGTTTTAACTCAAAGTCTCATTATTGACACCAAAGATGGCGAAGTGGACGTTCTTCAAGAGCTGAAGAAAAATACTTCTTCGGGAGGTGGTGGTAGGCATGAACTTGAAATAAATGAGATAGAAGAGAAATTAGCCGAAAAAGCAGATAAAAACCATGTTCATTATATAAGTTCAGACGAACAGATTATAACGGACTACCATGGATATTTAACACAGGATGAACAAATAAGCACTGAAGATGTTAATGAAAGAAGATATAGATTCATTCGTGCTAAAGGTTATGACATATACTGTACTGTACAGTATGACACAGGTAAAGCACCAGAAGCATTTGGTTATAACAATGAAATTTATGCCTCTAGTTTCTTTGTTAACGGTGTATTAGTTGAACCAAGATTTACTTTGAGAGTTAAGGCAAAAATAACTTTTGAAGATGCTATTAAAAGTAAAGCCAGCAAAGATGAACTTGAAGCAATGAACAAAGTTTTGAAATCTCATAAACACAATATCTCCGATATAAATGAACTTCAAGCTACATTAAATAGTAAAGCTGACAAGAACCATACACATGAATCCTTCACTACTGTTAGAGCAGACGACATAATATTGAACTATACCTTGGTTCAAGTGCACCTTTAGAGAATCCAAGTACAAGCGTAAAAGATACACTAAACTCCTTAAATAGTAAATGTATGAACATTGAAGGTCATGCCAGAAACTTTGAAACACATGAACTACCAGCAATGTTAGATAAGAAAGCTGGCAAAGAACATACACATAAATCCTTCACTACTGTTAGAGCAGACGACATAATATTGAACTATGATTTGGGTTCAAGTGCGCCTTTAGAGAATCCGAGTACAAGCGTAAAAGATACTCTTAACAATTTAGATAACAGTTGCAGGAATATCGAAGGTCATGCCAGAAACTTTGAAGCATATGAACTACCAGCAATGTTAGATAAGAAAGCAGACAAAACAGAGCTTCAAACATTAAAGACTGAAATACTTCAAACATTATATCCTATAGGCTCTATTTATACGTCAATGAACTCAACAAATCCAAAAACAGTTTTAGGTTTTGGTATGTGGAAGCAGATTGTAGATAAATTCTTATACTGTGCTAGATATTCAAAGCAAACAGGAGGTTCGAAGAAAATTAAAGAAGCAAACCTTCCACCGCACACTCATACAGGAACTACAAACACAACAGGTAGTCATTCACATTCAATAACAAAAAGAGGTTATACAAATCTTGCAGCAGGTTCGGATAGACAGGGAATGAATAGATATGATATTTCAAGTGACCCAGTAGATTCAAGCGCAGGTATTTTCTGTGGAACCACAGGAAATCATTCACACACTTTCACAACAAATCCAACAGGCTCGGGTGCAGATTATATGCCACCATTTGTGACTGTATTTGCATGGTACCGCGTTCAATGAACGCGCTTGAGCCTTGAATAAAATCTTTAACTTTACATAAATGAGCTTGAAAGAAGTATTCGAACAACATCCATGGAGGTCATTTAAGAAGTTCAATGAAGCTGCAAAGAGTTGGGGATTTACTAACAGAGCTGAAGTGCAAAGGTTCTTTGACAAAAATGTTGTACATCAAACAAAAATAAACCCTTACGACTACTTTTTACCAATTTACTCCAACACTCCTGACACATACCAATTTGACACTCTCATTCAAAGCAGAAAAGGAGGACATAAACCATTCCTCATCTTCATTAATGTTAACACTCGCAAAGCATATGCATATCCAATGAAAAATAAAGGAACTCATGAAGTTTTAAGAGTTTTACAAAAGTTTGTAGCAGAACATAGCCCAAGTACTTTAACATCAGACCAAGACAGTGCATACCTCAGCAATGAAATCACAGATTTCTCATTAAGCATAACATAACTCACTACACTACTGAAGACCATAACCATAACATACTCGGCATCATAAACCGCTTCATAAGAACGCTCAGAGATTTAAACCAAGAGCGAGACTTTACCGAAGAAACAATGAAACATTTTCTCGAAGTATATAATTCCTCAACACATTCTACAACAGGACATACACCAAATTCAATGACACAACAACAAGAAGAAAAGTATATACAAAAGAAACGAAGCCAAACACAAAATATCAGAAATTCAACACAATTTACTCTCATTCCTGGTACAAAAGTTCGTGTAGTTCTTGACGACAAACCGTTGACAAAGAAACGTTTAAGGTTAAGTAGAAACTATTATATCGTAGACTCTACGCAAGGTAATGGATATCTTATAAAAGCTGCTGACGACTCTATTGCGTTTTACCCTCGACATAAATTAGTTGAAAGTAGTAATGGCAAACTTGCTGAAACCATTGACGAAGCAAAGCGAGGAGTGGTTATTGAAATACTTGGCTACAACATAAACGATGACACTTATAAAGTAAGATATGAAGGAGGCATTGAAGATGTTATACCATCTAAGAACTTGAGAGAATCTAAACCAACTCATCTGGGATCATTAGAGCGGGAGTACTGGAAAGACAAAAATAAGCCAGAAAGAATAAGAAAATTCTTCTAAACTTTTTCATTAGATGTAAATCAGACATGAATGAGAACAGTCATGTATTATTAATGTTTTCATAAATTTACACCAAAAATAATGTTTAGGGTAGATGGTTAGATCTAACCTCATTTCTACCCTCATTTCTACCCTCATGAATTTTCATGAATTTTATATATTAATGTTTTCGTTAAGCCACTTTGTGCCGTCAGTCAGTCAGTCAGTTTAGGAAAGACTTTAGAAAGTTGTTGGAAAATAAGTCCTGGGAAGAGTATTATAAGGCATTTTGTGAAGAATATAGCAACAGTCTGAATTCAGACGGTTGCTTTTTATACAAAATTCATGCAGGAAATTCTTGAGTTTTGGTTGAAAGAATACGGTGGAGCCAAAAGTGGCTCGACCTCAAAACAAGCATTTTATGAGCTTACTAAGGGCGTTATAAATGAATTCAAAGGTATTTACATACATCCTGACCTCGTTCATTTTGTTGCTGAATTCAGCAAAAATAATGTTTAGGGTAGATGGTTAGATCTAACCTCATTTCTACCCTCATTTCTACCCTCATGAATTTTCATGAATTTCCTTAAGACAGAAAAAATAAAGTTAGTTTTATTTTTATTTATTTTTTTATTTTGTATAAAAGATATGATTTCAACAATCGGCACAACAACAATTCAAGCCACGAACGGCGGGACTCTGTCCACAACTACAGCACCAAACTCGTTAGTCATGAATCCTACGTCAATGTTGGTAGAGATGAAAAGCTTTATTCCTTCTTCATATACTTTTGAAACAGAAATCCAGAAGATAAAGCAAGAACTTTTAACTAGTAATTTAGACTGTAGTGCGAAAGATGAAACAAATGAACAGTATCTTTATGAAATGGAGACCTCATCGACCATTTGCCTAAACTACCTGAAATTCAGCAGCAAAAACTAACTATTCCTGAATTCGACGAAATTGAAGTCAAAGCAACTGACTCAGTAGAAATTAAGAAATTCATACGTAAAGTAAATTATGAATTCCTTGGTTTTCATTGCAACCATAAAGTTATGGACAAAGATTGCGACATGGTTTATAAAAATATTTCTGACCTTTACAAATCCGAAGAATTTAAGACATACGATAACTTTGTTTCATTAGTTGCAAAATGTGTATGGCAGATAAGAGATAAAGATAGAAGAGGTAAAGTATGGAATGAACAAATAAGACCCGCTATGTTTGAGATGAAGAGAGCAATTGACGCTTTAGTTATTTTAGCTGGTAATGTTTCAATGTATAACGCAAAAACGATGCCGCAATGTTCAAAATGTAAAGCAGCAATAAGAAAATATAACTACTCAGTCAAAGAGATAGAAAGAATGCGAAACGACTATGCAGACTTAAAGAAAGAAGCAGAAAAGCCAGCAGAAGATAAAATGGATATGTTGACATTTCTTAATAAAAACTATCCAACAGCAGAAGATTTCCTTTTATCTGACGTCAAGAAGAAGTATAAAGAAACCTTCGGCATTGTTAAAACATTCGTGTACTAAAAGAAGAAATAGAAGCTACGAAATTGTTTAGGATTTCAAATATACATCGTACAATTCATGTAAAACGCTTGTGAAAAAAAGAGGTGAAAAATGAGGTGAAAAAAGAGGTGAAATCTCACCTCTTCACCTAAACATTATTTTTATTGAATTCAGCAACAAAATTCTGAGTAAAATAATTTTTAGGGCATGTGTCAAACCGTTGAGTTTTCACAAAATTTAAAAAATAACGTTTACCATGTGAAACGTTTATAAAATAACTGGGGTAGAAATGAGGTGAAAAAAGAGGTGAAATCTCACCTCTTCACCTAAACATTATTTTTATTGAATTCAGCACAAAAATCATGAATTTCCTTAAGATAGAAAAAATAAAGTTAGTTTTATTTTTATTTATTTTTTTATCCGGAATATAAAGACAGATATGTCAACAACAGAGAACACAACAACAGTTATAGTCCATGAAGCTATAAATGAGGAATACGAGTGGGTTCAGTTTAACAAACAACTCCGTCTCATTCGTTCAGTCAAAGACGATATGTACCAAATGCAAAGTATTTTGAATGCTCTTCGTTCTACAAAGCAAGCATATCATTGGTTTGAAAACCAACAGACAAAAGAACTTTTAGAAGAATTTCCTCATATGATTGCTTCCCTCGGAAAACCAGGGGAAGAGATTCCGTATGAAAATCGCAAGAATTTGGCTCCTGGTTTGAAAGGTTATTATGTTCATAGACTTTTAGTAAATGCTGTAGCAATGTGGGCTTGGCCCCGTTATGCTTGTTATATTTTCATGATGTTAGATGAACTATATAAAGCAGAACGTGGAGAGATGGAAAAGAAACTTCATGCAAAAGATGAAGTCATTGAATCCAAAGACAAAAGCATACAGAAAAGAATACCGCGTTCAGTACCAAAAGGAAAGGAAAAGAGTTATAAGTATATGATATATACTGAAGAGATGGAAAATGAAGAAGATAAAGATATGGTTATGTTGCATTTAGTCAGAAGAAACAACAAGAGCTTTTATGACTTAGCTAAAAATATAAATCTGACAGAAACTGGTTCTATCGTGAAAACTTACCGATTTCAATGACACCGAATGAGCAAATAAAGGAAATTGTCAAAAATACTCTTCCTCAAACACACTATGACATCAAAGGTTGCACAATACTTACATTCAAAGAAGACTTAACATTACTGAAGGAAAAAATAACAGAATATTTCGATAACTTCAAAGAGAAAGAATAAAAAATCTAAGCTAATTTTTATTTTTTTTATAAAATTTTATCTCATATGAAAGAACATGAATTTAGAATATTCGGAACTCATGACAGAAGAAGAGAACGAACAGCATGTAAAAGATTATGCAAAATTTCTGAAGACATACAAAGCATTTAAACAATATCTAAATGCTTCTAAAGATTATGCAAAATTTCTGAAGGTATATAAAGCTTATGAAAAAGCGTATGAAAAGTTTATACATTGGGGAATTGTTGTAAAATATCCATATGAAGACTAACCAAAAATATATTTTTGCTCAAATAGCTTCAGGGTCTATTTCTTCAACCATTTCCCTTCCTTCATCAATGTCAATAGAAGCTTCTTCAACCTTTGGTAAGAATTTCTGTATAACATCTTTGTTCGTTATTGTCTTCAGAGATGAAGGATAATATTTCACATTTGTTTCACCCTTCTTATATTCTTTCTATTCGGAAAGATTTAAAGCAATACTGAAGAAGTCAATATTAGAGTTCTTTATGACAGTATAATGAGTATCTTTGACATTCACGAAGAAACTCTTTTGTTTCAAAACTACTGCTAACTCTTGTGAAGTATAACGTTTGCGGTCAATGACGATAGCTAATGGTCTGACATACTGACCAAACTTAGATTCTTTCACAAACTTCTTGTTAAAGATAACATTAACATTTGAAGCATTATTGAACTCATTCTTGATGGCAGTAGCGAGAGCATTGTATGAAAAGAACTTGCAATCTTGCATGTGTTTCATTAAAATAAAAATATTAAATTATTTTGAAAAATAACTTAAAAAAATCTAATCTAATTTTTTTCAAAAAATATTTTTTTATTTCCTACTAAAGATGTATCGGAAGTTGTCTAAGTTAGAACACTCGGAAATAAAACAACTTCTTACAGAAGCTAATATAGATGTTGCAAAGCATTACGCAACAAACAAAAAAGCACTCGCTGATATCCTCAATGACTATAATGGTGCAATAAGTTATGATAGAATTCATGAGTTCATAAAGCCGCAACGCGGCGAGGACGAAGTCCATGCAAGAGCATTTCCTTTAAATGACGTTGCTATTGACTTATATCATAGACGTTCAGTACCTCATGAAGTAAGAAGAGAAATGTTTGACATAACAAATGCAAACGTTGGTGAAACAAGAAGAAGAGACGACACACTGAAACAACAGAGAAGAGAGATGTTTAAAAGTGCTATAGAACAAGTTCGCAAAGCTAACGATGTCCTTCGTTCCATTGACGACAAACCAAAAGAAGGTGAGAGATGGTTAAAGAAAGATGAAGAGAATAGGAAGAGGAATGTTAAGACAGGCAATAGACTCATTGACTTTAACATCGAAGCTTTAGATGAACCAAACAGAGACTACTTACACAAACATTTCGGTAAGGTTTCATGAGACTCTTAGAGAAGATTAAAATAAACTCCCAACAAAGATGGATGGTATGTTATAAACTTGGTGGAAAGTATGAATGTTCTACGTTAAACCTCAATAATATTGGAACATTACTACATCAGCTCTTGAGGGAGAACTTTATATCAGAGATAGAAGCAAAATGCTGCAGGTATTGTTGAAATGCACTATGACTTCTTCTTGACAAACATAAAGAATCTTACTGAAATAAAGATGTATGATTTAACAGAATATGAAGGCTTAACGATGTCAGATGTAAAAAGGCAAAACCAAAAGAGACCATATAGAGATGAAAGCACACTGACAAATGACCAGAAAGCCATTTTGGAAGCTCTTAAGCAAACAGGAAACCCAGCACTTATAGAAAGCTTTTGGAAAGATAATGGTGAAAAGAAGTTTTATAAGAAGAGAAGCGGTCAGTTCTGGAAGTATCTTTGCACATTACCTATAAATCTTGAACGCTACCAAATCTTCAATGAACTGAACAAAAGAACTGCAGCACTTATGACAGAAGACAATTGTTTCGTTTATGCTTGCATTCAAGCTGGAGTAGATGAAGAAACTATTGACCACATGAGAGAAGTCATTCGTGTTAGAGACTTTCCTCAAAGTAAAGTACAAGAAATTTCTGACGCAACAGGTATAGCATTTAATGTTACCATTGGTTACTTCAATGACTCAAGACATAATGAAATAAAGAGATACATACCAAAAGAATGTAAAACTATTCGAACTATTGACTTACTTCTTGTTGAAGACCACTACATGCTAAATGAAAGATTACCAATGACAACATATTTCATTCGCAACTATATAGAAATCTTGAAGGAGTGTGGTGGAATGAACATTGAGAAACAGATGAAGATTTATACAAAGAGAGAAGATAAATATGTAGTTCGTTATGATAGAAAACACCGTATGGGATGTTATGAAAACATTGTGGGAGTGCAAATATTTCGAACCTATTTCTTATGGAGAACTTTTCACATATACGATGACTTATATAAACAGAACCTTGCACCATTTAAAGATTTGACATATGCTCCAAATATTGTGTACAACTGAAGAAGAAAGCCGAGTCAAAAGAAGTAAATAAAAGCTAAATGTAAGTTCATTCCTGAGCACGTTTTCTTTGCTGACTTTGAGTGCAGTACTGATGGCTTTCATAAAGCTTTTAACATCTTTTATGACAGTGAAGATGGTTCAGTGAGTGAAAAGCATTTGGGGTCAGAACTGTGCAACAGAATTTTTGGAACGACTTCCTGACAAGAGTTTAATATATTTCCATAACCTCAGTTATGATATAAACTTCATCTTAAGACACATGACAGAAGTGAAAGGAACTCCCATCATTAAAGGTTCACGAACAATGCAAATAACTGGCTTATATAAAGGAAGGGCAATTATTATAAAAGACTCTTTATAGTGTTATAAATAAGAAGCTTAAACTATTTCCTGCTATGTTTAACTTACAAACAGGACCGAAAGAAGTATTTCCATACAACTACTACAGCAGTGTTTTGTTAGCAAATGACAACAGAACTGGTGTCATTTCTGAAGCATGTAAGTTTATCCAGGATGCGGATACATTCATGAAAAACATAGATTCCATCAAAGGTTGCAGAATAGATGAAACCACTTCGACTTAGAAAAATATAGCACATTTATTGCAAACAAGATGTAAGAATTTTAAGAGAAGGTTTTGTTAAGTTCCGCAATGACATATTGAAAGAATTTGATTTAAACGTTTATGACTACGTTAGTATTTGTTCTATTGCTAACAAATTGTTTGAGAACAGAGTGTACTTCCCGAATGGAAATTTATATGACCTCTCAAATAAACCAAGAGAGTTTATTTCACGCTGTATTCAAGGTGGAAGATGTATGCTGTCAGATAACATGAAACAAAAGAGCGAAAAGAAACTCATTGCTGATTTCGACGCTGTTTCATTATATCCATCAGCTATAGCAAGACTTTATACTTTAGAAGGTATTCCAAAGGTTATGAAGAAAGAAATGTTAAGCACAGAGTATCTCATGAGACATTTATTCGATGACGACCAAAAGGAACCCATTGGTGAAAAGTTTATGTCTGGCTTCTTTGTTCTCATTAAGATAACAGAGATTGGAATACATAGACACTTTCCTTTAATAGTTTGTGACCCTGAACTAAATCCAGAACTTAACGTTCCCAGAAGTTCAAACACTTGCTGTTTAATGTATGTTGACCATATAACATTACAAGACCTCATAAAATATCAAGGTGTCAAATGTGAAGTGTTGCAAGGATACTATTACGATGGAAACAGAGATATTAGAATA